ATTTTTTTTTTCATTCACTCTCATGAAAATAAGTTATAAATAGCAGTGATTTTTTTTAGTTTTTATCTGGTCTGTTTGATTTGATTCAGCTTCCATAAAAATATTTTTGCATTTAAATACTTGTGTGATTTCAGAGTTTTTTCTTTGCTTCCACCATTAATCAGGACTTACGTTTGTCCTGGAGGCTCTCAGAACCCATCTGACTTCACCATCTACATGAGCTGTTGTTAAAGTAAAGTCAGGCAGTCATTTGAATCAAAACCTTCACAGAGTGAATCTTAGACTGTTGGGTCTTAAGATCTACAGACAAACCTGAACAGAAAACAGTCGACATTAACCAAAGTCTAAAATTTCTATCAGACTATTAAAATGTCAACTTTATAACGCCTCTCTCAACGTTCCATCAACAACAGCAATAAAACATAGAAGCTTTCTCTGTGAATGGAGTGATTAATAGTCAGAGTAAATTGTGTGTGCGTGCGTATGCAGGTGCATGTGTGTGTGTACGTACATGTGTGTATGTTGGTGTTACAGTAGTCCTGTGAAAGTCTTCTACACTGCTGACTTAGTGGCTTTTACACAAATCCCTGCTTCTGCATGAGAGAGCGACCAGTCTTGCCTCCTCAGCTGCTGCAGCCATCTGGTCTGCTGATGATGAGCGAGGGTCTGATAGGTGAGGGTGATTTCACCTGCTGTACTCTTCAGCCTGAGCTGCAAATATCATCGATCTGTCAGCAGTGACACTAAATTAATTCAATTCAATTCTAGTTTATTTATATCACGCCAAATCACAAGAGTCGTCTCAAGGCACTTCACACAGTAACCATTCCAATACAGGTCAGTTCATTAAGCCAATCAGTAAAAAGTTTCCTATATAAGGAATCCAGCACATTGCATCGAGTCACAGACTAGTGTCAGAGTCTTTACAGCAATCCTCATACTAAGCAAGCATAAAGCGACAGTAGAGAGGAAAACTCCCTTTTAACAGGAAGAAACCTCCAATGAATCCTGGCTCAGTATAAGCAGCCATCCTCCACGACTCAAGAAGACAGAGCAGACACACACACACACACACACACACACACACCATATGTATTAAGTAGTGTTGCTATGGCTACATTGTGATTTCTTAGTAAATATTCTGTTTAGTAAGAGATAAACTTCATTATCTTTATCTTAGTGAATCTATTATTAAACGGGTAAACTAGTGGTAGCACATTCCATGTCAAAGTGAGTAAAATGTTATCAGGAGGCGGAGAATGTTTAAGTGGTTAGCAGCAGTGTGCTAGACGTTGGCCCCCTCCGTGAGGCCACCACAGCTCAGCAGAACATCATTGTAGCTTCTTCTGGGGAGAAAAAAGCTTAGAGAAAAAATAAAGTTAACAGCTGAAATAGCAGGAAATAATACAATTAAAGAGCAAATTGTAGAAGAAAGTAGTCGGGTGAGGAAAGTGGTCAGTATGTCCTCCAGCAGTCTAAGCCTATAGCAGCATAACTACAGAGATAACTCTGGATAACCTAGCCTTTTAGATGGAGGCATGTTGGAGGCAGGGCAAGGGAGAGCCGTCTTTACCGACTGTACACTCCACCTCCCTTTACTCCCCACTTGTCCAGATCTAGGCTAACATCAGATTTTAACCATAGGCCCTATCAAATAAAAATGTTTTCAGCCTAGTCTTAAAAGTAGACAAGGTGTCTGCCTCACGGACTAATGGGCTCGACACATGGGAGGCGACATCGCCTCTCCTCCATTTATTTTCAATGAGACATGCATGACAAAGCGATAATCGCGGGTCTCCCTCCTACTAAGCGAAACGTAAAAAACATGCGTGTGAAATTTGGCACTCGTGCACGTGTCGTGCACAGGCGACCCAGCGACGCAATCCCAGAAAGTTGAAATATTTTCAACTCTTCATCGCTGTCGCTCAGACGAGGACCAATCAACGGAGGTTTCATTCACTGACCAATGAGCGGACAGGATGCTCCGTACATCTCCGAGCAAACATGAAGGAGAAGTTGATTATTATTATGTTTTATACAGTAAAATCAGAAGTAAGATTTCACATAACTCCAGCAGCACCTTGTGAAACATCATATCTACCACTTTTTTAACTCTGAACTGCGTAAATAACCTTAGTTCCCTCCAACCTGACACAGCCAAACAAAACAACGGAAGTTTCGATTTCACCATGGAACAGAACGCGTAGACAGCTTTGCCACAGGCCGCTGCCGCGGGTCGCCTCCCGTGTGTCAGGTAGTAAAAGCAACAGCGACAAATTTCGCTGATCGGGGTCGTTTGTCTTCTCCCGTGTGTCGAGCCCCTAAAGCTGGTAGCTGGTTCCACCAGAGAGGAGCCTGATGGCTAAAAGATCTGCCTCCCATCCTATTTTTAGATATTCTGGGAACCACCAGTAAACCTGCACTCTGAGAGCGAAGTGCTCTGTTAGGAACATATGGAACAATCAGATTCCTAATGTATGATGGACCTTGATTATTAAGAGCTTTATATGTGAGAAGAAGGATCTTAAAATCTATTCTGAATTTAACAGGTAGCCTATGTAGGGAAGCTAAGACAGGAGAGATATGATCTCTCTTTTTAATTCTCATCAGAACTCTTGCTGCAGCATTTTGGACAAGCTGAAGACTTTTAACTACATTCTGTGGACTTCCTGAGAGTAATGAATTACAGTAATCCAGTCTTGATGGAATAAATGCATGAACTAGTTTTTCAGCGTCACTCCTGGAAAGTATGCTTCTAATCTTAGCAATATTCCGAAGGTAGATCAAGGAAATCCTACAAACCTGTTTAATGTGGGATTTGAATGACATGTCCTGGTCAAAGATAACACCAAGGTTCCTTACTTTGTTCTTAGAGTCTAATTTAATGCCGTTCAGATTGACTAAGCAGTTTCCTTTTCTGAAGTTCCTGTCCAAGGATGAGAACCTCAGTCTTGTCTTGATTTAAAAGCAGAAAGTTTAGAGTCATCCAATTTTTTATGTCCTCAAGACAGGCCTGTAATGTACCCAACCGATTAGGTTCATCAGGGTTAATGGATAAATATAACTGAGTATCGTCAGCATAACAGTGGAAGTTTATCCCATGCTGTCTAGTAATTTTACCAATTGGAGTAAAAAGAATTGGTCCAAGCACTGAACCCTGTGGTACTCCACAAGTAACCCTGGAGTATGAAGAAGATTTGTCATGTACATTTACAAAATGAAATCTGTAAGACAGGTAGGATTTAAACCAGCCTAACACTGTTCCTTTGATCCCTACAACATGTTCAAGTCTTTCTAAAAGAACATTGTGATCAACTGTGTCAAAAGCAGCACTGAGATCTAACAAGACTAGAACAGACACAAGATTCTTATCTGAGGCCATGAGAATATCATTTGTAACTCTCACTTATGCAGTTTCAGTGCTGTGATACTCTCTAAAACCAGACTGAAATTCCTGAAACAGTTCATTAGTGTTTAAATGCTCACATACTTGGATGGCCACTATTTTCTCAAGTACTTTAGATAAAAATGGAAGGTTAGATGTTGGTCTATAATTCATTGGGTCATCTGGATCCAGAGAAGGTTTCTTAAGTGAAGGTTTGATTACAGCAACCTTAAAATCCTGTGGTACGTATCCATTTACTAAGGATAGACTGATCATATCTATGATGGGGGCAGTAACCAAAGCTTTACATTAAGACATATTAAGATATATTTAAAAAAAAAATTTTTAAAAGGTGAAGGCCACTGAGTTCAATGAGTAATATTAAACTGAATTTAAAAATATTTTTAGCTACAAAGTTTTTTATGTTTTATTTTTATATTTATTACTTTAAAAACTGTAAATTTGATTTCAGTTTATATTATATATTTTGTGTAATTTGTTATTATTATTATTATTATTATTATTATTATTATTATTATTATTATAACAATGTAAATTTTATATTTTGTTTTAACACTTTATGTTCTCAAAAGAGATATTTTTGCCCTAAAACAATTCAGTTCAAATGAGATCTCTTAGAAATTTTTGAGAAACATAATTTTTACAATAACTCAATTTATATTATCTAAATAATTTATAGAAAATATTGTATTTAATTTATGAATGAATCATTCAACATAGCTGGGTATAATTAAAAATATCCATCAAACTGAAGCTGTATTTTCAGCTGGTTAGGTTTGTGTTATAAATCAGTGTTGCTACATGTAATTAATGTAGAAAAATATTTATTAGTGAGTTTTTGGTGTTTTAGGCCAGATTTCTGTCTGTGTTAATGAAAACCTGATCCTTCCAGGTTTGTGTTCAAATGACAGATTTCTTTTTCTATAAGTCCATAATGAAAATCTTAAATATCAGCTTTTGACCAAAAGGGTCTGATTTAATCTGCTGTTGCTCAGTTTAAGAGAGAAGTTGCTATAATTTCATAGAGCATTAAATTGGACTGAGACTTCAGTAAATAAAGTGTTTATGGGCAGCAGGACAGATGCGCTCTGATTTCTGATCATGTAGTAATGAAGCCTCCAATCGTCTGCTAGCTGTGAACAATCTCAGCATGATCATCACGAGCATTAACGCTCTGTAGAAAGTGCAATCATCATTTTGTCTCCACAAACACTTCCAGCTCGCTGCGTTTGCGCCATCGAGCTGCTCTGCTGAATATGAATTGAGCCCAAACTGCAGTAGACAGACTGAGTTGTAGGTGAGACAGCAAGCAGAAAGATCCGAACTAAAGATGCTGCTAGAGAGGAAACCCTGTTAAGGATGGCAGTTTATGATTGAAATTCAGATTATTTTTAGATGCATCCAGCCAACCTTTTCTTAGCGTACCAGTCCTGCAGTCACAGATGTTTGAAATCATTTCTCTGTTATTATATTCTTATAATGACACACGTGACCCAGCTGCAGCATGAATCTGTGTGAAGTCCCAGCTGGTTTGGCTGCAGACATCCAGCTTGTCATGAACAATATTAATCCTCATTTCCCTCCACTTTTCCAGGCGAGCGCTGCGAGCTGTCCTCCCGTTCAGGTCGATGCGCTCCGGGAGTCTGCAGGAATGGAGGCGCCTGCGTGAACCTGTTGGTCGGCGGCTTCAAGTGCGAGTGTCCGCCGGGCGGCTACGACAAGCCCTACTGTGAGATGACCACACGCAACTTCCCCCCAAACTCCTTCCTCACCTTCAAGGGCCTCCGTCAGCGCTTTCACTTCACCCTCTCACTCACGTAAGCCCCTCCACCTCCCTCCTCCACCTCCTCCATCAGATTTCAGTGAATTCTCACTTCAGCCACCCACACATCCTCCCTCTCTGCGCTCTCACCTCCACCTGGCAGCAACACACCTAAGTATGAGATTAAAGCCTCTCTGCTATAGTAGCTTGTTAGATCTGAGTCACACACGACTCAAACGTTAGAGAAAATTAGTTTGTAGAGAGGAAGCTTTTGTATTGAGATGTTAATCCCATAAAGTCAGGTCTCATTACAGTCACTGTGTCACTCTGAGCTGTGACTCAGTGTTTGGCCTATTTCAGCACAGTCTTCCTCAGTGGGGTGAAGACTGACAGAAGCTGTCTCACATATACCGCATCATTACTGCAGCTATTCTCTCCTCTCATTCCAGTTTCTGCTCTTCTATATTTTCTCCAAATTCTCATTTTTTATTTTATTTTTTTGCCTCTGTAACTCTGAAGAAAGTAGCGCTGGTGTTCTTTGAGAAATCTTTATTTCTGGGCCAGAAACCAAAAGATGAAAGCTGGACAATAATGCTAGGATCCTAAACTAAAAGGTAAAGAACTCAGTTAGTTTTACAGATATTGAGCTGAGGTTTGGTGTGCTGGTATCCGAGAGTCCTCTCTAACACACACTCAGATCATATTAGATCCTGTGTTAATGTGTGAAGCTCCCAAAACAGCTACTCCAAAAAGTCTCAAAAAGAGTAGACCTTTAACTAAAAAATAAGCCACTATATGCCACATGTTCCATCCGTCCATCTGTCCGTCCATCCATCTATCCATCCATTCTCTTCCTCATTTGGAGTCGGGTTGTGGGGCAGCAGTCTAACCCCGGGTTTCCACCGGAGCCGTCAGCAGCACGTTACTGCAGCAGCACGTCTTGCTCGCGTAAGCTGCTGCTTGGCCCTTCCCACGAGACGCGAAGCAGCAGGGGAGCAGCTGTCACCGACAGAGCACAAAGTCACACGAGTGACTTCGTCAGTAAACACAACAACAAGCAGGAGAAAATTACAACATGGTTTGTGTTTTATGTTCTGTCCGTTTTATAATCGCCAATACGGACCTGAAAAACAAAGGAGACCGCTAGCTAGGTGATAACTTCTCACGGGGCCGCACAGTTAGTAACCCTTTTTTAAAAGTAAAGCAACCGGAAGGCAGTACGTTCTTTATTCTGAAAACCTCGGGAGCTTCTCTCCATTTCCGCGTCCGATTTCCTGTCTTTCCTTCCCCAAAAATGTCGAACTTGACCCGTTTCAGAGGCGTCGCACGTAAAAAATAGAACTGGCGCGTAAAGGCCGCGACATGCTGCTCCTGAGACGCGGCCGACTCGCGCTGCTGACGGCTCCAGTGGAAAAGGTTCTGTTGACCACAGCGGTTCCTATCAGCAGCTATGACGTGCTGCTGCAGTAACGTGCTGCTGACGGCTCCCGTGGAAAGCCGGGGTTAGAAGAGAGGCCCAGACTTCCCTCTCCCCAGCCACTTGGGCCAGCTCCTCTGGGGGAATCTTAAGGCGTTCCCTGGCCAGACGAGAGACATAGTCCTTCCAGCGTGTCCTGGGTCTTCCTTTGAGGCTCTCCCCGGTTGGACGTGCCTGGAAAACCTCACCAGGGAGGCGTCCAGGAGGCATCCTAACTAGATGCTCGAGCCACCTCAACTGGCTCCTCTTGATGTGGAGGAGCAGTGGATCTACTCCGAGCCCCTTCTGGATTACAGAGCTCCTCTCCCTATCCCTCTAAGGGAGAGCCAAGCCACCCTGCGGAGAAAACTCATTTTGGCCGCTTAAATCTGTAATCTCGTTCTTTCTGTCACTACCCAAAGCTCGTGACCATAGGTGAGGGTAGGAACGTAGATCAACCGGTAAATTGAGAGCTTTGCCTTCTGGCCCAGCTCCCTCTTCACCACGACAGCCCGGTAACGCACGCATCACTGCAGACGCAGCACCAATCAGCCTGTCGATCTCCCGCTCCATATTCTCCTCACTCGTGAACAAGACCCCAAGACGCTTAACCCTCTCGGTCTCAAAATAAGTTTTGATAAAAGGACGAACAACTAAGTCCTTCAGGGCTACTTCTGAGTTAAAAAATGCTCATGAAATACGTGTGTGGAGTAACCAGGTAGGTAGGTTTTAACTGTTGCAAATCTGCAACGCCTGCCTCCAGAGGGTTAAGTACCTCCACTTGGAGCAGGACCTCATCCCTGACCTGGAGAAGGCATTCTACCCTTTTCCGACTCAAGACCACGGTCTCGGATGTTGGGGAGCTGATTCTCACCCCAGCTGCTTCACACTCGGCTGCGAACCGCTCCAATGAGAGCCGGAGATCATTCCACAAATTAAGTTTAGCAAACATAATAAAATATAATTTAGTTTTCTAAAAGCTTGTTCAGAAAATTGAAACATTTGTAAAAATCAGTTCTTCCGGATTACTCAAACTGCACATTTGATTAGCCAGTTTTGTGTCTTTTCTTTTCACCATGGATCAAACAGTAAGTGAGATACCATCACAGAGCCGAGGTGTGTTTTGACTTATTGTGACTCTTTGGTCTGCGGTGGTTTGACTCTCACAGTAGAAATTAAATCTTCTCAGTGAGCCTTATAGACTCAGTCTCCTTTAAGGCAGGATCAGATGACCGCCCCTTGTTGATGAAAAACTGCTCAGACCAGTTTAGAAACCGGACCGCGTTTCTGTGGCGGGTCTGTGAAGTAGCTGCTGTGAGATGTCGGTTCTGGCAGCTTGAGGCTGCTGAGGTGAAGTTTAGCGGCTGCGGCACCTGAAACCTGTGTTTGTCTAGTTTTTGTTAGAAACAGAGTCTGTTGTCACAGACAGCTCTGGATTAGAATCATCTAAATGCAGATTTTTGTTAGTTATTAGATATTTGACTTTGAAACTTCTTTGGAAATTTGTCTCTTCATCTTGGCAGAAATCCTTGCAGCTCAGCTGGGTTTGATGATAATGAGGCTGAAGTCATCTTCAGGCTTCTTCAGAGATGCTCGCCTGTTTAAGCTTCAGACAGTGTCTGGTTAACTAAAAGCTTTTCACATTTCCTCTGACCCTCTCCAGTGAACTTCAGGAGTTGATGTCTGGTGTCTGAGAGTTGTTCAGATATTGTTGAAAGTTGTTTAAAAAAGGAAGTTTCAAGTTCATCTACTCAACTCCTTCTTGTTCAAATTAACATCAAACCTTTTTGACTTTAAAGCATCCAGATGGGGTATCAGGATTAGTACCTTCATCAAAATCCTGTCCTACACATGTCTACTGCCCTCTGGTGGAGGGTCTACTGGTGCCACAGGTCCATTTCATTTATTTATTGCTGCTGCTGTTTTATGATTACCTAATAAAATTAATCTACATCGTTTTTTAAACTTTTGATAAAACGTATTTAATTTAAAACCATTTTTTAAACATTAATGTTGTTTTATTTATTATTTCAGGCATTAAAGGGTTAACTTCAGTGCCCATTGGGTTGCTTGTTGTTTGTCTGACCACAGCAGAAACCAGAGGAGATAATAGGAAGCCTAGTCTCCTCCCTATCCGGTCGGCTCACGGGTCCCCGGAAGAACGAAAACATGACTGCAAGTCAAGGGGGCTAAAAAGGTTATTTTCTAATCTGCTTTGCCTGACACCCTGGATCACACGTATGTTGTACTGCAATTGAAATGAAAAGTAATGATGGGTGTTTTGACCATGACAGTTATGTACTTTGAGATTTATTAGCTTGTAAAAGTTCTTAATTAGCATGACTACACACCAGAAATCGGCACGTCGCATATGTAACATCACCACATAATCTCCTCCCCCCTAGCGTAGCTGCTACTTACCAGACGACCAGATTTGTGGTGGTTCTTTCCTCCTGGGGGAAGTTTGCTGAACTTCCAGCACTTTCCCCTCAGTTTTCTCCATGTCTGGTTCGATGACGTCACTTTCATGAAGCGCATTTGTAGTCCTGGACTTATTTTCACACAAAACCTGAAATAACATTTCCCCACGTTCGAAAATAAGCGCGATCTGGGTATCAAAATGTGTCTTTAAAATTCACGGACATCATACGTGAAATCCATGGCACACAACAAGCAGAATTAGAAAATAGGATTTTTAGCCCCATTGACCTGCATTCATATTTTCGTTCTTCAGGGGACCCGTGGTCCGGACGTAGATGGGCGTGACTGAGGCTCCCTAAGGGCTTATAAAGAAAAAATTTAGTTTTAAAATGATCTAAATTGCTTCGTCAGCTCTGAACATTGACAGAAGCTGGCTTCATGCCATCAGGTGTGATATTTACGTCCATGTTTTTATAAAAAATGTTACAGTTTTACATATCTACCTCATTTACAGCACAAAATCTGAATTTATTTTTGATTTTTTTGATAATATTGATTAGGAGTGATTCAGTATTACTGGAAAAAATGTGACTTATTTTGACAAAATTTCATCTCATCAGAGATGCAGTCATGTTTCAGCAAAGGCTTTTCCTTTGCTATTTATATTTTAGTTTCAGCTAGGTCTGGGCGTTTTATACAACAGCACTGTGTACGACGAATACATTTAATAATATAATGTATACAATCATTCTGATTTTCTTTATAAATCTGAGAGGTCATTAGTTTATTGTGATTGGACTCCGACTGATAAAACCCGCTGCTTTAACAGGATTCATCTCTGCCTTCTCCTAAAGTCAGACTTACTGAGATAATCAGAAGACACGGATCAGAATAGCGTGTGAAAAAGTGACCACGGAGGTGAATTGAAGGGTTTTCCCTGACATGCTGTCTCCCTTACAGAGGACCTTTCCGCCTCAGCGCTCACATCCCATGTATCTCAGCGTGTTAGCATAGCGTGACATGGTTCTTCACATAAGGGGAAGCTGGTTGTTATTTTTACTGATGGGTGCCTAATGCGACGCGCAGTGATGCCAGTAAAATCACCATTTAGTTCTGGCTGATTACCCTCATAGTTCAGAGGGCTCGGGAGGGTCGAGAAGAAGTGTGGCAGCATCCTTTTAAATCGATATGTCAAAGAATGAAGAGCCCCCACATGATGATTCTGCTCTTCTTTCTGTGCCTCTTCCGTGCATCTCCAGCGTTATTATCCGCCGAAGCATCGGCATCCTCGTTTCCTTCAGGGTCACAGTGATATGTTTTTATCTGAGTAAGCAGGTCAGTGTTGCCGTGCCCTCTGGCTGCTCTTCGGTCCAGGAACAATGCACTAACAGCATCATGTACTGCATCCCCTCTGACCCCGATGGCTGAGCGAGAGGCAGGAGCTGCTCATGCTGCCTGGCAGCACGTAGGGACACTTGGATGTCTGAATGGCGTCTTTCTTCAAGACGTGGCTCTGTTAGAGAAGAGAGGAAGAGTCAGAGTGACCTTTCTGAAAGAGAAGTGAAATCACTCCTGTAAGGAACCTGCATTGTTGTGGAGTAACTGACCAGAAAATACAGATGCGGGAATGTCGAGCTGGCAGCTGGCCGATATGCTCAGGAGATTTGTCTTTTGATCCTCTGTAGGCTGAATAAATCTGCTCTGTTAGTATGGATTTATTTTATATAGAAACCTGGCCCAGTTCCACCCATAATATTCAACACTTCGACATCCTGTTTGAACACTTGAGATGAACTAAGTGTGCATTAATATGCTGTTGCTGCAGCGTCGCACATAAACAGAAATGTGCCGCAGACGCTGCACTCAGCAGCTGTTTACCTTCTCTTCTATAGGAAAACAGATTTCCAAGACGTCATTATTCTGAACTGTCTAACTGTGTTGCAGTGCTGCGATCCTTCACCCTGCAGCTTTGACTTTGCCCTAGTTTTCCTCTAAGTTATCATTTAATTCAGCTTACGCAGATTCCTTGACTGCAAACGGATTTTTTCCCGTTTGACTTGTGCTTTTCATAAACCCCATTATGTTTGGTGTTCTTCCACAAGCCCTGAGCGCTTCCTGATTATGATAATTTATTACGGAGTGATAGGTTTGCCCTAGAAAGGTGAACGTGAGGAAATGCTACAGATGTTGTTAAATAGGTCAAACCAAACTGTGTGTGACTGTGATCATGTGCTTTTTTATACAGTATGAATCAGATGTTGTTTGTTATCGTAAGCTGGACTTATTCTATTTTTGTTCCTTTCTAGTGATTCCTTTCATTTTAGACAGACAACTTATTTTTAAACGCATTTATTTATGAATCATGTAATATTTTATAAATATTTGAGATGCTTTTTGACTTGTAATTAAAAAAAAGCTTTAAATAATTCATAACTTGTGTTTTTCAGATTTGCCACCAAAGAACAAAATGGTTTATTGCTCTACAACGGACGCTTTAACGAGAAACACGACTTCATCGCCATGGAGATCATCAGTGAGCAGATACAGCTTACCTTCTCTGCAGGTACACGACTCATTCATCAACAGAGTTCCTCATGTTTTATGTGTTTTAAAATGTTCCTTCTGTTAATGTCCTGAAACTTTTCCCATCACATTATTCCTCAGGAGAAACCAAGACCACAGTTTCTCCTTTTATCCCAGGAGGAGTCAGTGATGGTCAGTGGCACACGGTGGAGGTTCACTACTATAACAAGGTGAGAGGCTGACTGTTCGTTTAGACATTATTACTGGCAATAACAGCATTTTTAAAAACCTTTTCTTAATAGTTACATTTCTTAAGTTGTTTGACTCTAACCAACTGTAGTAATAGGCCTTTGGGACCAGAGGAGAGCACTGAAGCAACCCCCACAAGTGTTTGAGGTTGCTCATCTTCTGTTCTTGGGCTTTTGGCTTGTAGTATTTTCTTGTTTTTTTTTTCTCTCCTGTGAATCCTGATTCTCAGATGTTGGCAGATGTGAGGTTGGAAGCTAATAAAGATGTCTCTAACATACGTTGCTCCGTGTGTGTGTGCGTGCGTGCGTGTGTGTGTGTGTGCGCGCGCGCGCGTGTGCGTGTGTGTGTGTGTGTGTGGCCCAGTTCACAAGGCAGTATTTTAAAATATTGTCTGAAGATTTTCAAAGCCTAAGAGAACCCACATATGGAGATAAAGTCCTGGATAATCCACTTTTGGTCCTACCGTGTGTGGCAAAATGTACACACTACACATGGACCCATTTTACTCATCATTCCCAAATTAGATGGGAAATTTTGCAAAACATCTGGAGATCAAATGTGATGTAAACAAATGGGGTGGTGGAGGAGGAGGAGGAGGAGGAGAGTGTTGCTGTCACCTCACACACAACAGGCAGCATGCTTGTTTGTCCTCAAAATCGGAACAAGAACAATCCAACATGTTGAATATTCCTGATGTATCATCCGCGAGTTCCAACATCGTTTAAAGCGAGCCAGAGCACTCTTAACACACCACACATGGCAGGAATGTCTGATAAGATTATCTTTAGAGCCATGGTAATCAGGTGCATTCTTAAGCTAGTCTGAAGGGTGAGAATCGGGTCAATAATTATCCTGCTGAGTGAATCAGGCCTTACATAAAATAAATGACCGCTATACGTTGAAGCTAACCAACACTAGCAGCGTGTCTCTTTCCATTTGGAAGGCAGCAATGACACAACCAGGGGCCACATTTATAAAGCTTACCTACATGTAAAATGGGGTCTGGAAACTAGGTTTGGGCATCATTTGATTTTGAACGATTCCGATTCCAATTCCTCGTTTCGATTCCGGTTCCTATCGATTCCCGATTCCGATTCTTTCAAGACATGACATGTTTTACACGATCCAGCTAACCATAGGTCCTACTTGATGAAATAATCTTAACTCCAACATGAATTCTAACTCTATGAACAATAACATCACCTTCATTTTGACAGAAACATGTTTTGGAGAGAAAAAAAAAGACTTGCAGCACAACCATTGTGTTTGTTTCTGACCACAACCAAAGTCTGGAAGAAGCCTCTGGGATGAGAGGCTAAATGTCTCCAACATATCCAGAAACGTGCAGCTGTTTTCAGCTAAAACTCCCAGGATGATCATGTCCAGGTTGACTGAGAACTACACCTCCATGCTGCAGCAGCTTTGAGTCAGAACAGGAAGTGAAACTTAAATGTAGCTGCTGTCAGTAACAATCTAACAAGTTTTAAACATTAAAACTCTCAACAGAAATAGTTCAGAGAGGAAATTAAAATGTTCACAACTTTGTGTGTGATTTATTATTATTATTATTATTTATTATGGCAGAAGCTGGTGTGGTCCACCACAGAGAAGATGCTCTAGCATGATGACTAATTATTCTACAGGTTATTGTTCAGCCTTCTGACGCTCACGCACACGAGTGTTGGTGAGCAGCTGCGTCTGACTGCTGACGCTCCGTGTGTGTTTTTATTTCTGCAGTGGGACAAACTCACTTCACACCATCCAGAGTGTTACATCGATATGTGTTCCGCCCTCGAGATCTGTTTCTTTTGCACCCAGCTGTGAGTTAGGACCATCCACTCACAAAAAATGTGTCCTAACCCTAACCCCAACCCTTACCCTAACCATAACCCTGAAACAAACATAAAAATTGTGCTAAACATAATATTTTCTATTTTTATATTTATGCAAACATACATTTTTGGTGACTGGGTGGTTATGGTTAGGGTAAGGGTTAGGGTTAGTTTTTGTGATTGGGTCTAGAGCCCTGCACGGGCCTAAAATCTGAGCCCGTGTCCGGCCCGGCCCGAGGGGGTGGAGCCCCAGCCCGACCCGGTCCGAAAAGGTTTTGAGGATTCTCTGGCCCGTCCCGAGCCCGACTTTTTTTTTTTTTACCTTTCATAATGTTTTGGCGTGATAGAATGCTCAGCATTCTAATTATCTGTGGGAAGCGTTCTGCATTTTAAAAAAAAAGAAAGAAAAGAAAGAAAAACAGCATCAATGCAGCTTTTTTTTCTAACAGAGCGTATTTTTTGAGTGGCAGATGAAATTTACGAACACTATATTAATTGGATGCGTTTGTAAATTTAATCTGCTCAGAAAATGCGCTCTTGTGCAATTAGAAAAAAATTTTGCATTCTAATTTTCTAACTGCAGAGCGCATTTTCAGAGCGGCAGATTAAATAAACGCCCCCAATTAATATAGCGTTTGTAAATTTAATCTGCCGCTCTGAAAATGCGCTCTCCAGTTAGAAAAAAACCCAGCAATGAATGCTATGGGTTATGGTTGGAGCGACAGTGGCACAGGAGTTAAGTGCTCGCCCCGTAATCGGAAGGTTGCAGGTTCGAGCCCAGCTTAGTCTGTCGCTGTTGTTGTGTCCTTGGGCAAGACACTTAACCCACCTTTTCATGAGAATAATGGTTTCTGACACATCAAAGTGGACATAAAATGGCATATTAGAATAGGGGCACATGTTTCAATCAGCAGTTGGAGAATTTGTTTATATAGGCGCATTTATAAACCACACAGACCTTAACTGAGCTAACGGGTGCCGGTGCGTGAGAAGCAGGCAGGTGCTGCTGCGTTTAAGTGTTTCAGGTTTTTTTAATGAATTCGATTAAAAATAAAGGCGCCCGGCCCGGCCCGTGTCCGTGGTAATTACACAGTCGTTGGCCCGAATCCCAGCCCTCGGGCCGTCGGGCCGGGCCGGGCCGGGCCAACCCTCGGGCCTAGGGCTTCAGTGCAGGGCTCTAATTGGGTCGTTTCCACTTGCAGCTGAGTACAAAAGAAACAGATCTCGAGGGGGGAACACATATCGACGTAACAACTGTTCCGATCGTTGCTCGGTGCTCGATGCCCAACCCTACTGGAAACTGAGGAAATTATTTTCCATGAAAAACTTTGTGATTTAAAAACAAACACTTCACAGGAAATGCGGCAACTTTAAGCAAATTCTGTCCCTGGTGTAAGCACATGTTGGAGATGGGGACTGCCAGCGAGATGGCAAATGCTGAATTTAAGACACATTTTCAGGCTTGAAGACTCGTGAACGCACATACACAGACCCAGCTCCTGTCTCTGAACTGATATTAGTAAGATATTACACTAGCTATGTCCATATCAACGTCTTCTAAACTTATAGGAACATTAATTGTCTGATGCATGACAACGCATCCGTTGTTAATTGTAATATAAACTAAAACTGGACACCTGTGCACCTTTCGAGTTTCCCCCTCAGCTCTGGAATACCTTGCAGCTGTTTTAGATGGTATCATTGAAATGATTATTGCCGTCTTCCTCTTTGCCTCCATCTGACCACTTCATTAAATTAAGTAATTTACTGAGTTCATTGCGATCACGCCACACACAAGCACCTCAGTTTCTGTCTTGGCTGCCATGGTTACCTGTGAAATGCCACCAATCAGCCACCTTATTCATAAAACACTTTGCATGGATATTTTATGGCAGAAAGTGGGTGTGTGATTCAAAAACACCTGAGCACATTTCTAGGACAGCTGTGATTTATATAACAGGAATTGCGTGCAGCTGTGCGTTAGGAGTGTTTCTTAGGTCGGAAAATTTTTTTTCCTTAAGTACAAATTTTTTTCTGAAGTGTTTTAGGAAAAATTCTACACAAAGTTTTATAAACGAGGCCCCTGATCGTTTTAGCTCCTGCTAGAAAATACAGAAGAAATTATTTTTCAGCTTTGAACGAGAGAGAAAAGGAGGAAGTCACAAATGACAGTAAACTGTTGCAAAAATAACCAAACTGAAGACACGTTTCTATAGATCACCATAGATAACGTTTAGTTTTTTTATGTAAAGGATGCAAACATGAGGTGGAAATTTGATTTTGTTTGTTTAAACAACACAACCCTGACGTGTACCAGGTATCCAGAGTACCATCGGCTTTTATTTTTTATTTAGAGACTATTTGTCATCTAGTCAGAGAACTGGCAGCTGTCACTCTTTCCTGGTGGTCTCTAGAACATTCAGCCTGTCTGTGGTGGGTGTGACGTGGGTGTGGTTAGTGGTTTCACCTCCTCAGTGCTCCTCTAAAGGACTAAAGAATTACCGCTGACAGGCTGATGATGATCTGGAGGCGAGCCAACTAGACACTGACAGGAGAGACTCAGACATGAGGGGGGTTAAGTGAATGAAAACTACTGAGTGAGTGGGAACTCTGTGTGTCTCCAGACGTGCCGGCATTGTTCTGCATATATTTGCCTTCTAGATGTTTCTGTAGGAATATGAGAACAGCCCAATCAGTGCTGGAATGTTTAGAGCTGTTGTCTGTGCTGTCTCAGTGTTTTCACACACACACACACACACACACACACACACACACACACACACACACACACACACACACACACACACACACACACACACACACACACACACACACACACACACACACACACACACACCAGGGTATCCGTGGGTCCTTGAAAAGTCTTAAAAAGTCTTAAATTTCCAAATTTAAGGCCTTGAAAATCCTTAAAAATGACAAATAATCCTTATGTACAGTTTCCAAAGGTCTTAAATTACCAAAGACCCAATAAACTAGATTATTTTATTTCTTTGAAATTTTTGTGAATTTCTAGTTAGTGATGAGCATTTTTTGTGTATGATATTGGCAAAAAGTTGTGGTTGGGAAAGGGGGCTATTTTTAGATGAGCACATTAGCTGGTTAAGCTAGTGGGAGCTTGTGCCATGGGGAAGTGCAAGTTTAATGGTAAATGGATGGCTAATCCTACGTTCGCAAAGTGGTTAACACCGGTTCCAGGCAATAGCTGGAAATTATAGCAGAAATTTAATTTAAACAATTAGCTTAAATTTGGTCAAAGTGGCCTCAAAATGGTCTTAAAAAGTCTTAAATTTGGCTCCCATAAACCTGCAGATACCCTGACACACACACACACACACACGCACGCACACGCGTGCACACACACACACACCATGATTTCTGTCCATTGAGGAAGTCACTTTGCCTCATAAAGATGTTGCCAGGCAACCCCCCTGCGGATCGCATTTTCTATTCAGTGTGCACGACTACATGAGCATGTCAGATTTTAGCGAGCAGAAGTGATGAAGGGGGCGAATCCTGTTGAAATTTAGGGGAAAACTTGTTGACTCTTTGGCTCTTTTCTCTTCTTTCCCTCTTTGTTTCTGCAGACATCAAAGTCTCATTAATCATTTTAGAAACAGCAAACTCAAATGTGGTGGAACACCACTTATTTGGTGGCTTCTCCAGCCTGAATGCTCCAGTGCAAGTGGGCTGCATGTGCTCACCTGTGGGGTGAAAACAGCTTGAGGATTCTATGAGACCTGGTACTGATCCGATACTGATTTCACCTTTCTGTGACACTGGTTTGAAGTTTGAAGCTATTATATTTTAAAATATAAGCTTTATTTACAGCCCCCCCAAGACCCGGCCTGCATGGAGAAGTGGGAATAGACCATGGATGGACGGCTTTATTAATTAAGAGCTCACATAATATGATGACATAATTTTGCAAAACATCATCAAACACACAGTTGTCAAATTTTCCATTCAGAACCACCTTAAAGCCTCGTGTCATACCAACAAGATGTCCCACGGACGTTCTGGTGCATGACAGAATCAGCTTCATCCATGATGAGGACCTCCTGTTCCACATCATCCCAAAGATTCTGGACGGGAATGAACTCTGGTGATCGTGGAGGTGTTTGGAGTCCAGTAAACCCATGGTCATGATCTACAAGTTCTGGTCATAGACTGAAGGGTCTGCGGTTCCTCCTTCTGCTCCAGCTGAACTAATCCTCTGCATCCCGAGTCCCTTAGGTAGAAACGGGGCTCCTCCCTCTGTAGGTGTCCCACGGTGTCCCACTGTGACCTGTCCCTGTCCACAGGGGGTGGCGTGGGGTGGGGTGAGTAGATTGATTGATACAAGGCTTTGGGTATGGCGAGGCACTGTGGAGAATGGCAATGACCGCTGCCTTTGTGTTTGTCCCTGCTTCCTTTGGGACAGTGTTTAGTGAATGATGCGGCCCCGGGGGACGGTGCCCCTCTCTTCTCCTTCAAGGACAGAAAAGCAGGAGAAGTATTGACTTGGAGACGCTGCGCTTCAGGGCCGACCCCTCTTGTTGCTATGGTTTTTCTAGTCAATCTTGGATTCTTTATCTGTGCCGCTTGCTGCCGCGCTCTGTCTGAACTTCTGTCACCTTCCATGGCAGGAAACTCAAATTCCCATAATCCCCTGTAGCGGCAGCGAGAGCCGTGTTTAATGTGCTGCAGAGCAAATATGTGTGCTCCAATCAGCTCTGACAGGATGGCGTTTTGTGGAGCAGAGAGACGTCCTGACAGACCGTCATTATTGGAGAGTCAATAGCCGTGACTGATGACAGCAGAGGTCAGTGAAAGGAGCGCCAGAGCTGGAGCGCTGCCTGCTTTCAGAGCTTTCACAACACAGGCAAAGCCGTGGAAAAGAGCATGTCGGATGATTTCACCTTTGGCAATTCACACAACGTGTTTGCTTGTTTCATCATCGACAAATTTGTAACAAATTGGCCTGAGGGAGGATAAACGGCAAAGCGAAAGCTTCCTTCTGTGTTTGTATTTTTTGTAACATTTCACCTCTGACTGATGAAGAGTCACAGCGTTTTGTGGCTTCCTGTGGGAAAGACGCTCAGTGGCACGGCCCGTGGAGTTCTGGATTATCATTAAACATTAACTATAATCTGAATAAGAAGCTCATTGTTGCTTTGGGAGATTGTATTTTTTTCCCCAGAATCAAGACGGTCAGTCTTAAAAACTGACTGCACGTCCACCTGCAGGTCATTAGGATGCTCCAGGGGACTTTCAGGAGCTGTTTACTTCCCGGGGAAAATGCTTTGAGTGTTCTTGCTCATTCACACCATTTATCTTCTGTTTTCACACACACACACACACACACACATACACACATACACACACACACACACCTCCAACACGGGTGTGAAGCCTTCGCGATGACGTCACAGCTTATTCTGCCAAACTTCATGTCACAAGCGTAGGCCGCACTTTGATCACAAGAATCCATTCAGCTGCAGGATCTCAGTTACAGACGAGAAAGTCACAGAGAATTAATCTAATCTGATCAACGTGGAAATCATGTGAGAGGTGTTTGGCTGCGGCGGCACCTTGAGCTAAAATTAAATCCATCAGGACCACGCCAGCGGATGTGGAGCGTTTGGTTTTAATGAAGATGTTGGATGTTACCTAAATGACAGGATCAGATTTTAACAATAAAAAGATTCCTGAAGCATTCAGAAAATTATAATTCCTCACCCTGCTGCTTGCTGGATGAAGCCCTCAGAACACAACGTCACCCGATCTTACGATCTTACGTCCAACCGCCTGATGGTCCGGCCCGGTTCGCCGGTCAGCCGAGGACGTGGGCTGCTCTGCTAACGGCTCGCTACACCAGCTTGAACCCACACATAATGCTGATATGAGCTCTGTGTGACCCCGAGAAGCCGGGCTGTGTGTGAAGAGGTCACGACCTTTTATTGACAGGATCATCACTCTCTACCCCACGGGCCCCACTCTCTTTTGTTACCATTGATTACTCTGACAATGAGGTGCGTGTGTGTGTGTGTGTGTGTGTGTGTGTGTGTGTGTGTGTGTGTGTGTGTGTGTGTGTGTGTGTGTGTGTGTGTGTGTGTGTGTGTGTGTGGTTTAAACTGAAGCTGATTGGTTGTTGTTTATTACTTTAATTCTTTAAAATCTGGCTCATAAATCAGAGTTTTAATGTAAGGCAGCTGAGATGCATTTGTTTTGTTGAAGAGCTTTATTTATTAAACACCTCAGATATTTAAAACAGCGACGCTGTATCTGCTCCAGTTGTGGTTGAAAATAATATATAAAACTATCCTCTGTTTAATCCTCTAAAGAATGAGGAGGAGTGATCAGTAATTCCCTTCTTCTCTTTTCACAGCCGATCCTGAACCAGGCGGGCCTGCCTCAGGGCCCCTCGGACCAGAAGATGGTCGTTGTGACCGTGGACAACTGTGACTCCTCTGTGGCGCTGAGGTTTGGTCATGCGATCGGAAACTACTCGTGTTCAGCTCAAGGGAGCCAAACAGGATCCAAAAAGTAGGAGCCGTTCCTTCTTAAATATTATTTTTATTGAATTATTACTCTTTGTAAATTTTCATTTAAGTGTAGCTTTGTTTACACTTTATTGTTTATTTCTATTTCTCTCCTCTCAACCAGTGCTTCATGCATTTATTTAGAGGGGAGTGTTTTGCTCGTGTCTAATGGGGTTCCTCTGTGTTGTCAGATCTCTCGACCTGACCGGGCCCCTGCTCCTCGGCGGAGTCCCCAAACTCCCAGAAGACTTCCCTGTTCAAAACCAGCAGTTTGTGGGATGTATGAAGAACCTGCGCATCGACAACCAGCACATAGACATGGCCGGCTTCATCGCTAACAATGGCACCATGCCAGGTCTGCGGCATTTCACGTATTTTTATTTATCTTTTCTTTTTCTCCAGTAAAACAATGTTTAGTGAAGCTAAGTGAGAAAAGCCGGCGGAGGAAATAACGCTGACTGAAGTGAGCGCAGCTGGAAGGAAGAGTCGCTGTACCTGCTCTGAATCCACGATTACCGTCTGACTTTGTGATGAAGTGATGAGACAGGACGAATCAAACACGGCGTTCTTTTACTCTCCCTCAGGATGCTCTGCTAAAAGACATTTCTGCAACAACAACCCGTGTCTGAACGGAGGGACCTGCGTGAACCTGTGGGGCTCCTTCAGCTGCGACTGCCCACTTGGATTTGGAGGGCAGAACTGTGAGAGAGGTGAGGAAAGTAGAAACAAAACATTCATTTAGAAACGGATTTGACTCAAAACTGATTGTTTTTTTGCAACAATTCGTCATGGGGTGAGAAGCTGAGACGTAAAACGAGCCGGTGACACCAGAACAGCTGCAGCTTTGGGTTTCGTGTTTTAAACAAGCGTGTTGATGACAGCCGAGAGCAGCATGGTGTTAAATGGCGTTACGGCGTTTAAGCTAAACCGCCATCTCCTGATGTTCTCCTGTGTCTGTTCTGGTTCCACCTGATCTGCTGCAGCTGTTGTTTCTGCTGATTTATGGTTCAAACAAATGTGAGAAGAGACAAAAAAAGGAAGTAACACATGCAGGAGAAAACTGCAGCTTGGGTTTTCAGCTAGAGGAAGAGCAGAACTTCTACTGGAGTCTTTTTCCTGCAGATCAAATGGAATTACCATACAATGGTGGGTGTGTTGTTCTGAACGAGAAAAGTGAAGGAAGGTGTTTGGTTACCGTAGAAACCCAGAGGTTTAAGGCATTAAAAAGAAAATTCAGATAAAGGGTGAGTATTCAAAGTAAAAGCCTTAAAAGGAGCAAGAATAAAAATACATGAAAAAAAAAACATAAAACAAAGTTCGCATTTTTTAAATTATTAACAGTTTTTAATCACTCCTAATTCATTAGTTTTTGTTGTTACTTTTTAAATATTTTTGAAGCTTTGCACAAAGAAAATGAACTCCTGATCACACACAAATACTTTCATTCATTATTGTCTAAACCTTATCTGTCAAAACTTATAATAAAAATAGATCTTCTATAATAAAACAGTGTTGCCAGTCAGTGGTTTTACTAAATTAAAAGAGCAAATAATTGTACTAATCACAGCTAAAAGTTTAGAAACTCATGTTTATGCTTGTTTTACAAATGTAGTTGATCTTCACGCCTCTCCTGGGCCAGCAGCCTCGGTGCGTTGGGTTTATATGTCATCACTAATCGATTATTTCCATCTTCTCTCCGATGCAACTCAGTGAGTGGAGCCTGCTGGGCATCATGCAGGAGGAGAGGTCTTAAGTGTCACTTCCACACTTTGTGGAAGTTTGAAACTGTGAAAAGTTTTAATGTCTGAGTACAATTAAAAATCCATACAATTGTTTAAAAATAATCAACTCGCTGCATCAACAGCAGTGTGTCTTCATGTGCATGTGTAAAAAGTGACATTTAAATCTGATAAGTTAGATAAGAGGACGTGTCAGGGTGATGACTCCCCAGCAGAGGCTTAGACCTGCCAGTTCTCATGCCTTTTTTCTCTGCCTCTCTGTGTTTCTCTCTAGCCATGGCCAACCCGCTGCGTTTCCAGGGTAACAGTCTGTTGCAGTGGAGCAACCTGGAGGCGGCGGCTGCCTCCACCCTCTGGCACATCGAGCTCATGTTCCGCACTCGTCAGTCCAGCTCCACGCTGCTTCACATCGCCTCCGGCCTGCAGCACAACCTCACCCTGCAGGTGAGAGTAGCACCTCGGCCAGGGGTGGGCAACTCCAGTCCTCGAGGGCCGGTATCCTGCCTCTTTTTGTTTCCCTGTTCCAACACAGTTGATTCATCTGCGCAGCAGCTCATCAGCTACGCAGGAGCCTGTTGATTATCTGCTGATTGAAATCAAGTGTGTTGAAACAGGGAAATCACTAAAACATGTAGGATAGCAGCCGTCAAGGACCAGGTGTGTCCACCCCTGACCTAGGCAGACATCGTTCTCATCTGCTTGCATCAAACAGGCATTGGGACAAAACGAGCTGAAGAAGAAGAAGCAGCTCTGGTGATAGTTTTAGATCTTGTCTGGACTGATGCCTCTTTGATGTTAGAAGCCCCTTCAGCTGTTCTATTTCCAGCCCTGCACACACTCGATGTGCTGCAGCAGTTTGAGGTTTGAACTTTTGAACCTGCAGTGCTGATTGTGTTTTTATCCTCCTCTTCCCGCCTCCCCCTTTGTTCTGTCTCTTCCTTCTCCCTCTGTTGTTTTGCAGATTCGAGGGGGGAGCATGCTGATGGGGCTGCACAGGGGGGAGGACTCCACTCTGTCCCGTGTGGAAGAGGTGCTGGTGAACGACGGAGACTGGCATCATCTACAGCTGGACATCAGCAGCCTGGGAGGAGCGGCGAGCCACCACAAGGCAGTGCTGTCGTTAGATCACGGCCTCTACCTGGTGAGCTGTTCAGTACTTGGATCTCCTGATAAAACTCCTTTACGTGGGTCTTTTAAGTCCACCGTTGTGGTTCTTTTCAGGCCAACATGGAGGTGGACGGAAAGCTGAGGGACTCCAAGCTGAAGACTGTGAACGTAGGCGGTTTGGCAAAGCCTGATGGGAAAATTCAACATGGCTTTCGAGGCTGCCTACAGGTTTGTCCCCTCTAAAGGTTCCACGCCTGCCAGGATTTGGGATGATTTGATGTAAACTGGAGTCCAAACTGTCATTTGTTTTTGTTTGGAACGGTTCCCACTCAGGGTCTGCGTGTTGGAGGAGCTCTGAGTTTCACTCAGGCCAGGAAAGTAAACGTGGAGTCGGGCTGCAGCGTGCCCGACCCGTGCAGCTCTAATCCCTGTCCCGCCAGCAGCTACTGCAGCGACGACTGGGACAGCTACTCCTGCACCTGCCTCAGCGGTCAGTCTGTACATGCTCACGAGCTTTTTCACTGCAAAATCCCGCAATAGTCTGACATCAGAGCAGCTCACTTCCATCTGCTTCATTTCTCTACAGGTTACTATGGAACAAACTGCACAGATGCGTGCTCACTCAATCCCTGTGAACACGCGTCGCTGTGCACCAGGAAGCCAGGCTCCTCTCACGGTTACACCTGCAACTGTCCCAGGAACTATTTCGGCCAATACTGCGAGAAAAAGTAGCCAACGCACTCGTGTTTGGTATTCAGCAAATATTTTGTTGCTTAACAGAAAAAAACTAAACTAATGTTTCTGCAGGACTGATTTGCCGTGTCCTAGAGGCTGGTGGGGTCACAAGACCTGCGGGCCGTGCAACTGTCCTACAGACAGAGGTTTTGATTCAGACTGCAACAAGACGAGTGGAGAGTGTCGCTGTAAGGTGAGTCTGCAGCCCTTAATCATTCATCTGTTAAAGACTCTCCTTTAGTTCTAATATTTCCAGATATCATGAGTTGACTTCAAGTTTTCCAACTATCATGGTTTTATCATTATTTTATACAAATTTATCCCAAAACACATTAAAAAAGAGGTTTTAAATGTGAGTGAAATGTTGTTTCATACACTTTTTTGGCTGCAAAACAAACTCATAAGAGTTATCCTGCATAGATACACTGATGCATGAAAGCTGTTCTCACTATGAACCTGCTCTGTCATGCAAACAGCAGACAGTTTGGACAGTACTTCTCATGGTTTAACAGTAGGCAGGTGAAGGACCCAGAGGCAGAGTTAGGAGGCAGCAGGAAGTAGAGATCTGTATACATTATTATAAACTAAGAGGGCAGAAAAACTATAAGCTCGACTCGATGTGAATTTGACAAAACCTTCTGTGACGGCAGCTGAAACAACGAGGATCTGACACTGAGCCTACAAAAGGGAGACATGTAGAGGAAACGAAGAGGCGTGTTGAGTAGCTGGTACCAGGTGGGCAGACGGGATAAAAATAAACAGCCTGCATAGAATAAAACAGGAAGTGATGCTTCAAAGTGTGGAACACTAAAAAAGTTTTTTTTATTATTTCTGTATATAATCAGTCACTCTGAGTTTTTCATGGAGGCTGAAGATGAAAATAGTCTCCTACACCTATCTCCTGCATTAGCTTCTGGTAGACAACAGACGGTGAAACTCTAGGATTAGAAAAGCCTGACAGAAGTACGTCACACTGTCACTTAACATTCACGGACTCACCCATCTGGACTCACAGCGGGGAGGCTGTTGTTGGTTTAGCGTCCAGCAAACAGCAGAAATAGTCTCAACTAGCATTAGCTAACCGAGCATTAGCAACTTCAGCACACAGAAGCAGCTCCTCCGGGCTTGTGTTATTCGTGGAGATAAAACATCAGTGTTGCAAGTCAGTGGTTGCTGTTAGCCAATCAGAGGCGAGATGTCCAAACATCAGAAAATAAGACTCCAAATCCTGCCGTCTGAAGCTCAGCTGTGATGTGGGCAACTTTTAGAACCTACGGTGCACCGGTATCTTTTATAAAATTAAATCTCTTATAAGACAGGAAAACCAGATTGTTTACTTTTACTACTAAAACAGCTTCTGCTTGTCTTTTTCAAATTGGACACCGCTGTGCAGCTTGAGAGCAGCTGTGGCTAAAAATAAACTAACGGATCTGTCAGAGACACTAACTGAGGAGCCTCGGAGATGTTGGTTCTTTTTATAGCAGCTGGAGCTCGGTGGTGTCGTTCAGGCTGAAGTTTGTGCAGATGTAGAAAAAAAGTCCTGACTAAGCATCCTGTCCCGTTTCCAGGACAACCACTACCGTCCTGAAGGCAGCGACACCTGCCTGCTGTGTGACTGCTACCCCGTCGGCTCGTTCACCAGATCCTGCGACAGAGAGAGCGGACAGTGTCGGTGTAAAGCCGGCGTCATCGGGCGTCAGTGTGATGGCTGTGACAACCCGTTCGCCGAGGTCTCTCCTAATGGCTGTGAAGGTCTGGACAGATGAACGGAAACTCGGAGATTCATTTAAAATCTTTTTTTAAATTATTTTATGTATAAATTTTAGTGTATAGGTAATCTTGGTTTTCTTCTCCTCCTCTCTCAGTGATTTATGACAGCTGCCCTCAGACCATCGAGGCTGCGATATGGTGGCCCAGGACCAAGTTTGGTCTCCCTGCAGCAGTTCCCTGCCCCAAGGGAACTCTCGGTATGAAGGCTCACCTAATTATCATACAATAATGGAAAATCTATGAAACCATCCTGAAACTGCATGTCAGCCGCGGCTTGTTTCTCACCTCTGCTGTTTCCTCATTTGAAGGCACAGCCATCAGACACTGTGATGAGCACAAAGGCTGGCTTCCTCCAAATCTGTTCAACTGCACCTCCGTCACCTTCAGCAAACTCAAAACTCTGGTGCGTGGCTCCTCTCCTCGCTCAGAATAATCATTTCAATACAATTTCTAGTTGTTTTTTTTTTTCCTAATTGTTTGTGTGGACTTTCCTGCTTCAGGCTGATAAGTTTTCCCATAACGCCTCCCTCCTCCATCCTGGACACGTTCAGCAGACGGCGGCCATGTTGGCCAACGCCACCTCCCACACCCAGGAGTTGTACGGCAGCGACGTGAAAGTGGCGTACCGCCTCACCCTGAGCCTGCTGCAGCACGAGAGCAGCCAACACGGCTTCAACCTCACGGCCACACAGGACGTCCACTTCACCGAGGTTAGGATTTAGGACGCGATGTTCCTCTCTGTGCCGCAGCATCCCATCTCACTAAACTCCCCATCACATCCTGACAGAATCTGGTCAACGTGGGCAGCGCCATCCTGTCTCCAAACACGCGGCCGCACTGGGAGCTGATCCAGCACACGGAGGGTGGCACGGCGGCGCTGCTGCGGCGCTACGAGGAATATGCTAACACACTGGCTCAGAACATGCGGAAGACCTACCTGAGCCCCTTCACCATCGTCACACCAAACATCGGTGAACTTTGAACGCTCAGCTTTTAGTTTAACGAGGATTTATTTGAATAGTTTTAGGTAATACCAGTAATAACTCTGACCTCCCCTGTGTTTGGGCTCCTCAGTCATTTCTGTTGACCGTCTGAAGAAGATGAATTTCGCCGGAGCCAAACTGCCGCGGTACCAGTCCCTGAGAGGCCCCCGTCCCACGGACCAGGAGACCGCTGTCACCCTCCCTGATTCGGTCTTTCAGCCGCCGATGGACAACAGGGGCCACAGACACCTGGATGTTTTCCCAGAAACTTTGCTGAAGAACCGCTCAGGTCACAGGAAGAGACGCCACCCGGATGACAGCCCGCAGGACGCCATTGCCAGTGTGATCATCTTCCACAGCCTGGCCTCACTTTTGCCAGAGAGCTATGATCCAGACAAGAGGAGTCTGCGGTGAGAGAGTCAGAAACAGGACTCATGAAACCAGGAAATAGATCATTATTGACTTAAACTTTAAATGTTGTTCTGTTTTTTCCCCCCAGCTTACCGAAGCGTCCGGTCATCAACACGCCGGTGGTCAGCATCACCGTTCACGACAATGAGGAGCTGCTGCAGCACACGCTCGACAAACCCATCACTGTGCAGTTCCGCCTGGTCACCACCGAGGAGCGCTCTAAACCCATCTGTGTCTTCTGGAACCACACCATCCTGTAAGTCCAGGGACACGGGCGCTGCAGCAGGCTGTGTGTGGTTCTCATGTTGTTTGTTGTTGTTGTTGTTTAGCTCTGGGAGCGGCGGCTGGTCGGCGAAGGGCTGCGAGGTGGTTTTCAGAAACAGCAGCCACATCAGCTGTCAGTGTTATCACATGACCAGCTTTGCTGTGCTGATGGACGTCTCCAGGAGGGAGGTGAGTGACGCAGACGTCACACAAAACACAAACATCATCACAGCAGTGTGCAACAGCTAAACGTGATGCTGGTGTCAGAACGGAGAGATCCTGCCCATCAAGATCCTGACATGGAGCACAGCCGGCGTGACGCTGGGCTTCCTCTTCCTCACCACGGTCTTCCTCCTGGGTCTGAGAGCCATGCAGAGCAACAAGACCAGCATCATCAACAACGGATCCTCTGCTCTCTTTCTGTCTGAACTCATCTTTATCCTGGGAATCAACCACGCTGACAGCCCGGTAATCTTCTCTCCTCCTGCCTCCTCCTGCTTCTCCTGATGCTTCTTGGCGCTGAACGTTTTCCTCTTCTTCATCAGTTCCTCTGCACAGTCATTGCCATCCTGCTGCACTTCTTCTACCTCTGCTCGTTCTCCTGGCTTTTCCTGGAGGGGCTCCATGTGTACCGCATGATCAGTGAAGTGAGAGACATCAACTATGGACCCATGAGGTTTTACTACCTCATCGGCTGGGGATTTCCCGCCTTCATCACAGGTCTGCCTCTTCATCATAAACAGAATAAAGCGTCTGCTGACCAGGACCACAAGCCTGGATCTTGTGTCTTAGTACACAGATGTGAAGCCATTTGAAAGAGACATAAAACACGAATTCAGTGTTTTACATTGACAATAAATTCAAATGTCTGTTTACAAATAAAATAAAACCAGGAAAGACTAAAAAAAAGTGAATAATTCAGGTTTCTTATACTTCCAATGGATGATTAATTTACCATAAGGCAATAAGCACATTAAGGGTTACAACATAATACTTAAAATAAAACAGAAATGTTGTCAACATTGCAGCTTTTTACAGATTTCTGGTAAATCAGAAACTTTTCACGTCATTTAAGTTGTCGTTAATGTTTAGGTAACCAGCACAGATACATTTCTATTATTTAGGTTATGTGTCAGAAATAGGTTTTATTGGTATAATTTATACACAATACATAATGTACAAACAGCTGTGTGCAGATGTTATCATCACAGCACTGATTCTCCATAATGCAAATAATAATAATAATAATAGGAACAAAAAGAAAACAACAAAACTTTATTTAGTCACCTTTTGACTTCCTTGACATCAATAAGTTTAGGTTTTACTCCATAAATCAGCTTCTTCATGACGCAAAACACTTTCTTGAGAAGTTGTCAGATGGAATTTGTCTCTAAAAAGGAAAATCAAACATATTTTTGTGGTTGAATGCAGGTCTGGCGGTGGGACTGGACCCTGAAGGCTACGGTAATCCAGACTTCTGTTGGCTGTCCATGTACGACACGCTGATCTGGAGCTTCGCAGGACCCATCGCCTTGGTGGTGTCGGTCAGTCCTGAGTCACTGACTCCTGCTCCAGCTGCTCGCTTATATCTGATGAAAGTGACGGTTGTGGTGCTTTTATCCACAGATGAACATCTTCCTGTACATCCTGTCCTCCAGAGCCTCCTGCTCTCTGAAACACAGCGGCATCGAGAAGAAGGAGCCTCGAGTGTGAGCTACTCCAGAGATGATCTACTATTTTATAGATCTGATGACAGCAGGTAGAGGTGTTTGTCCTCATCTCACTTCTGTTTGCTCTCTGTGGTTTTAATCAGCAGCTCAGGCCTGAAAACTGCAGGTGGCGTCCTCTTTCTGGTTTCTGTCACCTGCTTTCTGGCTCTTCTGTCTGTCAACAGCGACATCCTCATCTTCCACTACCTGTTTGCAGGTTTTAACTGTGTCCAGGTGAGTGTTTAGACACTCTCTCAGACACCTAAAGGGTCCTTTCTGTTGTTTTTCTGACTTTAGTTCTTGTTCAACCTGCAGGGTCCCTTTGTTTTCTTTTTCCGCATCGTCTTCAATAAAGAAGCAAGGAAAGCTATGAAATACTGCTGCAGCCGAAAACGTCCGGACCACATGATCAAAGCTAAAGCATCAGTGAGTTTGTTACCATGAGGGAGGGTGTTCACCTGATATACAGATCATTGTCTCTTCTATGACTCCAGTTTTTCAAAGTTTAGTTTAATTGTTTATCTTTAAATAGATAGATTGTTAATAAATAGTGTTAGAATATCAGATTTCTAACATTGTTGCATCATTTTACATCATTTGTGGTGCCGGTAAACTCTGACTTATAATTTAGACTTTTTTAGAGCTATTAATGAAAAACATTAGCGAACTTAATTTGAATCAGTGTAGGCAGTTTGGTTTTGAAGATCAATGAATTTTGAAGTAAAGAACCTAATATAAGAAACTAATAAATACAATAGATAAAATATTCATCTTTATCCATTTTATTTTAAGTGACAGTGTGTATTTTCCCTGACGATAAGGGGCAGTGCATACCTAAATGATTGCAAGCAAGCAAGCATTACTCTTGTGTTCAAGGAAGACCTTACTAACGGATGGCCCTTAGGGTCAAAATCCCTGGGAGCACAACCTCCAGCAATATAACAAGAACATCAGATTACCTTTCATCACTGGCAACGAGTGAAGAGGCAAATGTTAAAACAACAACATTTATTAATGGTCATTGTTTTGTAACCATTTGTTACAAATCAGTAAATGCATTTTGTCCTCACGGGTTTCCGTAGATGAAACATGGCATCCAATACGGCGTCGCCCAGAGACCCGCTCCCATGTATTTAAGAACAGATTTCTACGGTTATGTTATGAAACTGCCAATATTTTTCATCAACTGAGCATCTTTTAATCCATTTACAACAACATTTCGATGGATTTTTCCAGAGAATAATGGTAAAAACTACACATTGTCACTTTAAAACAGAAACATTTAAAAAGTCTGAGTAGTAATGAAGGTCACAGGTTAGTCCTTTCTGTGTGAAGTTAGCACGTTCTCCTGTTTTTAGCAAGTTCTCCTATTGTTAGCACGTTCTCCTATTGTTAGCATGTTCTCTCATTCATTAGCACATTCTCCCATTGTTAGCATATTCTCTTATTGTTAACATGTTCTCCCATTGTTAGCATATTCTCTTATTGTTATTGTTAGCATATTCTCTTATTGTTAGCATGTTCTCCCATTGTTAGCACGTTCTCCTGTTATATTCTCTCAATCATTAGCACATGCTCCCATTGTTGGCATGTTCTTCTGTTGTTAGCACGTTCTCCCATTGTTAGCACGCTATCCCATTTTTAGCATGTTCTCTTGTTGGCATGTTCTCTCGTTGTTAGCATGTTCTCTCATTTTTAGAATGTTCTCATACATGCGTAGGTTTTCTCCCACAGATTTAAAACATGCTTGTCAGGTTAGTTGGAGACTCTAAATTGTCACTAGGTGTGAATTTGAATGAAGAATTAAAAACAAAGGTGCATTATGTAGAAATGACGTAAAATGACATCCTGTGATAAAATTTGGTAACTGCAACCACTTTAAACAACTCTGGAGCTTTTTGCCGGCCATCATCAAATTACATTTGTCGGCGTTGCAGTATTAGCTCACAGGAGACACGGGAACCCCACACTCACTGATGGTAAACAGTAGTTACATCACTCCTTCCTTTGTTTGAAAGGAGAAAAACTGACAATCCACGCAACTGGATATGAAATATGTTTCAGTAATGACCAAAACATTAGGCAAGGCAGCTTTATTTATATAGCACATTTCAAACACGGGCAATTCAATGTGCTTTACAATTAGCATTAAATGGCATAACAACAGGGATTTTCTCACTGTAAAATTCTCACAATATTTTTTTACGTACTGCACCTTTAATGTTTCAAAATAAGAAAAAAATGAAAAAAATTATTACATTTATCAGCTTCAAAATAAAATTGTCCAATTAAGTGTTAATCAGAAAATGACATTTTAAGCTTGCTTTAGGAATTCCTTTAAATTTCATTTTAATAGTAAAAACGGTTTATTAGAAAGTCTTAAATGTTGGTTGTAGGTTTTGTTTCCTGTAGCTCAGCCCACAGCAACAACTGTTAATCCTTGTGTTTTTTTTTTATTTTTACAATCCCTTTTATTTATTTTTTTATTTTTTTATAATTCAAATCATTTTTTATCATCTGGACTGGATTTGCAGAGCTATAAAGGGAACAGCAGCAGCAATGTGGACGGCAGGTTGTACCACCTCCCGTTTGGTGAGTCCAGTGCATCTCTGAACGGCACCATGCAGAGTGGAAAGAGCCTGCAAAGCTACGTCCCCTTCGTCCTGCGGTAAGGAAGTTGTCTCACCAGAAGTTAACTGGGTTTTAGGATCATACTGGAGTCAACTTTTTCTTGTCTGCCAGGGAGGACGGGTTAAACACCAGCCAGGCGCACATCGCTCTGAATGACCACGCCTCTCTCTTCCATGAGACAAAGGAGCACGTTAATGGTAACGTCCTCATGTGAGCCACCTCTCTGGCTCTGCTGCTGCAGATGAACTCACCGTCATTGTCAATCTGCAGATCATGACAGCGACTCGGACAGCGATCTGTCTTTGGAGGATGACCAGAGCGGCTCCTACACCTCCACACACTCATCTGACAGCGAGGATGACGAGGGTCCCCTCCCACCAGAGGAATGCTGGGAAAACCTGGCATCGAATGGCACAAAGAGACCACAGACACACGGTAGAAATATTTCCTCAACATACAGATTTTTTTATTTTAACACATGAAATAACCTTTAATGTCTTCCCGTTTCTGTTTTTCAGACACCAGTTTGGGGAAGATGCTCTGGTCTGGAGACTTCTCAGGAGTAGTAGGTGATGGTGAGTTCTCAGGTGGAGACAACGTGATGATGGAGACTCCAGAACTGGTCCTGGGTCGTAGTGTTAGAGCATTGTCAGAAGACCGGTCGCAGGAGTCCATGACGGTGCTGCTGCCCTCTCTCCCAAACATCTACAGCCATCCTCACAAAGGTAACGCTCAGCCAGAATTCTTCATTTCATTACCCTTTTCTTCATTTGTACTCAAATCAAAGACATCTGGTTTTTATTCTGTTCAGGGATCCTAAAGAAGAAGCAGCTCTCTCCCATCGTGGAGAGGAACAGCCTCCATCACGTCTATAGTGAAGTGTGTGAAAACACACCGGGCACGGTGTCCCCTCAGGGGTCCTCCTCCAGCGAGACCCGATCTGCTCCGGCCAGACCAGGCCTGTCCGATCAGCTGAATGGCGTCGCTCTGAGCATCAAGGCTGGGACGGTGGACGGTGACTCGTCAGGGTCCGAGTGAGTACCACCACACATGAATACATACCATGTGCTGCTACCTGCCCGTCTGTGTCGCCCCCTGCTGGTCTGTTGTTCGTCTGGCGTCTGTGTCGGGTTACAGCTCGTCTTGTTCTCATCTCATCTCTACATGCAGGTGAAGCTGAGAGAGCCAGCGCCTGTCAGACAGAGTAGACCTGAAACTCTACATGCATCTGCCTTAGCTACTGGAGTCAAAACGTGATTAACGATTAGGAACACATTTAAAAATACATCGTTTACGCTCATATATTGATGTTTCACACTGCTTTGGATATGCTGCTTCTTATTTTTGTTCATCGTCTTCATCTGGAAAACTCTAGAACTTTCTAAAGTTCTGCATTCAGAAGTAACAGTTTTAGATCTTTTTCCGCAAACCGACTCAACACACATTTATTTGTCACTACACACATTATAGGTCATTTATACATCTGATTACCTCACTCATCCTGTTTTAAATGTAGAACAGCCTGATAAAACCAGAAATTGGACCTTACATCTAATAAAAACTCATTTGTTTATTTTAGTCAGAAAACTAAACAAATCTGTTATTTATGGTGTAATTAAAATATAATTACAATATATTTAAAAAACCAACTGTATGATGCAGTAAAATACTCGTGTCTACTGGCTGACTCCAGTACCAGAGGGGTTAAAACACCTTCGACATGTAAGAGTTCATTTTATTTTAGTTTAATTGAAAATGAGCTGTAAATAAAAGCAGAGTCAGACCCGGCCTGGCCTCCTGCTGCTCCTGTTGGCTCCTTATAACGACGTTTAAAGGATAAAAACGGTACTTTATTGTCTTTCTAACACACCAGGTCAGAATAACAGTGGGTTTATAACCTGGAAATACTAATCAACCTTTTTTTGCTCCTTTTCTCTTTCCAAAAACAACCATAGATTTTTATTCTTTAGTTTTATTCCATGAAGCTCTGATCCTCTTTCAACCAATCAGGATCACTGTCTTCAGATTGGTGCATCGTTTTACCATCCGCCACCCCCACAAGCGTGTGCATTTTTCATCATCACATAGTTATTTTCCCTTATTTAGTTTTCTTCCTTGTGTTGTGTTGTATTCATCACCCAACCATTTTGATCACCGCCTTCTCACATCACCCCTTTCTTCCCAGCAGCCACTGCAACACGTCCATGTGACCTCTGTGACCTCGCTGACGGAGGGGTGTGTCTTTGCAGGTCATAGATCCTCTCTCCTCAACAGTTCTTGCCAACGAGGAGGCCCAGACATCCCCTTCAACAAAATGAGGAAAAACAAGGAGTTCCTCTGAAGGAGTGTGTGTGTGTGTGTGTGTGTGTGTGTGTGTGTGTGTGTGTGTGTGTGTGTGTGTGTGTGTGTGTGTGTGTGTGTGTGTGTGTGTGTGTGCCAAACTTCAGGAGTCACCACACACCGACAGAAAAAGCCTCCCTTTAAAGAAATTGTTTTGTTTACATACTTGAAGAAATGCACTTTTTTTGTTTTACCGCCCAGATTTGTAGGTGATCAACCGTTTTTATTTTGTTTCAGGATTTATTGATACATTTTAAAAACTGTGGGACAGTTTTTTTTTTTTTTTTTTTGGGTGGGTCATTTGGTTTTAGACTCAAACCTTCAGGGAAATGTTCTTTTTGTTGCTGTGTCAGACTCGGAGGTCTGAGTTGTGACAGAACCAGGGGTTCTGGGTCGACACCGGGACTCTTCCTGCGCTCATGAACTCTAAACTGAACTTGAAAACAGGACGATAATCTGCCTGTTGAGGGATGCTCCCTATAAGCTACGTCTCATCACTGTTGGTTTTTTTTTTTTCCGGCTGATTCAAGCTGCACAAACTCAAAACCTTCGAATCTGCATTTAAAGACTCAGAGGGCTTTTTTATTCAACTTTTTTTCTTTTTTTTTTTTTCTTTTTACAGATTATTTTATTTTTCAACATCAGAAGGATGAAAACTTTTGGGCTGAATGACTAAACTGCTGTATTTCATAGATTAGGACCAGAGATGGTTTCATTTTGTAAAAGTAAATAAATATTTACAGATTTGAGCTGTAATCCATTTTTCCTGTACAGATGGCTGTAAATGAATCCAGAACATATCTTAAACGTGAGTAGAAGTCACTCGGGGGAAGGGGAGGGTCTATCTGCTGATGCCATTTTTATGAACAACACAGTTTAATGTATAAAATCATCTGATCGGGATCACCGAGTCATGGTGTTGTAACACTGATGTCCAAACAAACGATTGTCTCTTTATTCCTGTTTTTACCAATTAAAAACTGTTTTGTACCAATTCTGCTTCATTTGTACTCTTTAACAGTTTTGGGGATTCAGAAACAGGCCATGCTCACACAACAAAATCAGCCTTTCATGGATATCTTTAGACTTATCACATCAGATAAAATACCTCAATATCTGTGGAGGTATGAAAATGTCTAGGAGATAGGGATGTAAGAAAATATCGATAAGGCAATATATTGTGATATTTTTTACAGCTATATTATATTGATTTTCAAATGTCGTGTATCTAATTTTTGGAAGAATTTATGTGCAAACATTTTTCTTTTCTTTTGGTGCAATTCAAATGCCGACCACTAGTCCAAAGCAGTGTGCAGTGGGTTTTGTTTCCACCATTGAAATGTAAATCCCTCTGTTATGGTTCAGATACATGTTGAACATGTTAAGTATCAGTTTGGACTGTATATTGAATATTCCTACATTAAATTCAGTGTAGAAAATTGCTAATAATATCTGAATGTATCGCAATATACAGTGGTGTGAAAAACTATTTGCCCCTTCCTGATTTCTTATTCTTTTGCATGTTTGTCACACAAAATGTTTCTGATCATCAAACACATTTAACCATTAGTCAAAGATAACACAAGTAAACACAAAATGCAGTTTTAAGATGATGGTTTCTATTATTTAGTGAGAGAACAAAATCCAAACCTACATTGCCCTGAGTGAAAAAGTAATTGCCCCCCTTGTTAAAAACTAACCCAACTGTGGTGTTTCACACCTGAGTTGAATTTCTGTAGCCACCCTCAAGCCTGATTACTGCCACACCTGTTTCAATCAAGTAATCTCTTAAATATGAGCTGCCTGACACAGAGAAGTACACCAAAAGCACCTCAAAAGCTAGACATCATGCCAAGATCCAAAGAAATTCAAGAACAAATTAGAACAAAAGTAATTGAGATATATCAGTCTGGTAAAGGTTATAAAGCCATTTCTAAAGCTTTGGGACTCCAGCGAACCACAGTGAGAGCCATTATCCACAAATGGCAACAACATGGAACAGTGGTGAACCTTCCCAGGAGTGGGCGGCCGACCAAAATTACCCCAAGAGCGCAGAGACAACTCACCCGAGAGGTCACAAAAGACCCCAGGACAACTTCTAAAGAACTGCAGGCCTCACTTGCCTCAGTGTTCACGACTCCACCATAAGAAAGAGACTGGGCAAAAATGGCCTGCATGGCAGATTTCCAAGACGCAAACCACTGTTAAGCAAAAAGAACATTAGGGCTCGTCTCAATTTTGCTCAGAAACATCTCAATGATTGCCAAGACTTTTGGGAAAACACCTTGTGGACTGATGAGACAAAAGTTGAACTGTTTGGAAGGCAAATGTCTCGTTACATCTGGCGTAGAAGTAACACAGCATTTCAGACAAAGAACATCATACCAACATTAAAATATGGTGGTGGTAGTGTGATGGTCTGGGGTTGTTTGCTGCTTCAGGAACTGGAAGGCTTGCTGTGATAAATGGAACATGAATTCTACTGTCTACCAAAACATCCTGAAGGAGAATGTCCGGCCATCTGTTCGTCAACTAAAGCTGAAGCGATCTTGGGTGCTGCAGCAGGACAATGAACCAAAACACACCAGAAAATCCACCTCTGAATGGCTGAAGAAAAACAAAATGAAGACTTTGGAGTGGCCTAGTCAAAGTCCTGACCTGAATCTTATTGAGATGCTATAAAAAGGCGGTTCATGCTAGAAAACCCTGAAATAAAGCTGAATTACAACAACTTCTGCAAAGATGAGTGGGCCAAAATTCCTCCAGAGCGCTGTAAAAGACTCGTAGCAAGTTATCGCAAACGCTTGATTGCAGTTATTGCTGCTAAGGGAGGCCCAACCAGTTATTAGGTTCAGGGGGCAATTACTTTTTCACACAGGGCAATGTAGGTTTGGATTTTGTTCTCTCACTAAAAAATAAAAACCATCATTTCAAAACTACATTTTGTTTTTACTTGTGTTATCTTTGACTAATGGTTAAATGTGTTTGATGATCAGAAACATTTTGTGTGACAGACATGCAAAATACCTTAAATCCTCTAATATTAGCCTGTATTTAATTAACTGCCGGGTATCATATTTTGGCCGGTGTCGGAGTCGGCGGAGGTGAATAATGGCCGGTTTTTTTATTGTGGCCGGGTGGAATGTGGTAACAAGCAAGTACGGGGGGCGGTTGTGTCATCCGTCTCACTTTTGATTTGCCAGTGATAGACCGCGAGGGTAACTTTAACCATGCGGAGACGAAGAAGAGGCGAAAATTTGATATCAAGTTCAAAGAGAACGTGCTGATTATGCTGCAGAACACTCTGGGGAGCAGTAGCAGGGGTTGTATGAACTAGTCACTAGTCGACTTCACCGCTGTATAGTGACTTTTTATGCCTGTCATCGACTAGTCGCTGTCACGTGATAATGACCGGCAAGATGCAGCCCTCGGAAAAGACAGCAGCCTGCTGTCAGCAGGTGGCAAGCTTTTGTGCGTCTGGAGGCAATGCGCTGTGCCAGAGCGTCGGTACTGATACCCGCCGTAAAACGGACATTTAACTAAATTGTGACGTTTACCCTCTTGCAATTTAACCTTCCCCTCACCCCCAACCTAACCTTAACCAGCTTGTGCATGCAAAGCTCTGATTGTTGACGCGCTCCAGACATCTGCGTCCTGAGCACGGCCACAGTAACGTTATCACATCAGGTGTCGCCACCTCAAAAACTAATTTAACACGCGATCGTTCATGTCAGCTCATTTCCTTTTATGTTTTCTGTCTTTTATTCTTTTATTTGTGCCTGATGCGTTCCGCTGCTGTGGATCAGGGCGCATCACCTGTTTTGTCCTCGGTGACGCACCTAACTGATGTGGCCAGCGAGCGCTCCGCTGTTTTTGCGATCGGTAGATCTTTTAGAACTGCAGTTCAAAGGTAACTCATAAGGTGAATATATATGAACCCAGGTAGCAGTTTCTCTTTAGTATTGAGAGGAGATGCAGGAAGATAATAAACAGGCAGGACAGAAAAATAGTCAAAAACAAGTTAGTTTTTGTACCTGCTGTTTGCAACAAACAGACACCATTGAAGGTAATCAGAAGTGAGGAACAGAAAATGAAATAATTATTTTAATGTTTAGAGCAGCAGGAACTCCGAGAGGCTGCAGGCGCATCAGTGAGATTGCGGCTGCTGCGTGGGGGGGAGGGCTGAAGCAGAAACTACCGTTGTTAAAAGAAATGTGTTTAACTTTGAAAATGTGGGCGCAATTTTAATTGTCAAAAACTCCAGCGAACCATTAGTTCATTTTGCTCAAATAGAAATTGAGGCCTGCCTCTAATTATGGCCCTCCTTCCAATAAAGGCCTGGAGCTTGATGAGCTTGAGTCAAATACAGGCCCGGGCCTGTATTAGAGGATTTACGGTAAGAAATCAGGAAGGGGCAAATAGTTTTTCACACCACTGTATATTGTATCGTATCGCCCAAATTTCACCAATACAAATCCCTACTAGGAGAGCTGACATTAGGTTGCCAACAAAGTTGTTCTACAAGATTTTAAGTGAGAAGATGTTTGAGGAATAGAGTAAAAGTATTCTGGTCCTTATTTTTAAGATCAAGGGAGGCATACAGAATTGTGGCAACCTTCAGAGGAATTAAGCCAATGAAGATGTCACTGTTCTGAACTCGTTTAAGCCGCTATTAAAGACCTACATATGACTTGGTGTCAGTGATCATTTTTTCCTAGTTCTGTGTTTTATTGTTGACTTTTATTTATTGTATTGTAAGTTTGTTTTGTTGTACAGGGCTTTGATCAGCTGTCACACTTTGTTTTAATGTGTTGTATAAATAAATTGGTATGATATGGGAAGACATGTGAAAGAGTGGAAGCTAAGCTAGGTAATATGTAAGTGAAGGGTGGTGTCATTTCCAAATAATCCATTTACTTGCCAAATAACTTCTAATAAAAAATTACACAATACAGATCAAAACCATCAACGTAATAAACAAAAGCAAAGTTCAAAAATATTGAAATTCACAAACAGGCACAAACATGACACCACTGAAATGTCCCACATCTCAACACCTTATGTAACTCTTCTCCAAATCCTTCTCAAAGCACCCACAGTCCAGATCTATGAGGGATCCATACCTGCAGGCAGGGGCAATTGTAGGTTAAGAGGTTTAGGGGTGCCTGGCCAGGCAAGATAAAGTTCACTGTTTGTACATTTTAACACATTTCATTACCATATTTGGAAGAGAAAACACTTTTCTTCACAAATCAAACATACCGGTAGTTGTAATTTGTGAAACCTTTAACAAAGCTGCTATCAGTGGACTAATCTTGTAGTTTTGAATGGTTCCCAACCTTTTTTCCAAGGACCCCTTTTCCTGTGTGACAAGGACCACCAACCCCCCCTCCTACCCACACACCCATTAAAAATAATTTACAAACTACAAAGATTGTTTTACCCTTATAGAGTTATGATTATAATATTGGGTGTGTCATTGAGATTTTATAAATGTTTTTTCAATAATCGTCAATGTTCAACTTCAACTCAGACCATCTTGTGGGGACCCCCATGGTGGCGGGTTACAAACCCCAAGTTGGTAACTACTTCTGGTGTTGTAGTTTTAAAGATGCTCAGAGTGGAAAATGTGATTTCAATTGCCCTTTCCTAATCGGAAACCAGAAATGGGACAACTTTCATACTCTTTGTGCAAAAGTTTTGCTTTTTTCAAAAATTTAAAACTTAAAGGCCCAGTGTGTGATATTTTTACCAGTTTACCATCAAATCCTGTGTTTCCAGTTCACAAACTTGTCCTTTTTCACTAATATTTCTCACCATCAATTCTAAATATTCCTCTCAACTTGAAGTAATAAATTTTTATATACATAAAATGTGGTCGATGCTCGATGGTCATCCACCATCTTAAAATATAGTAGCTGTTTAGGGACATACGAGCTCCACGTTACCCGTTTGGACTATGACTGTAACCTGAAAGAACCAGCAGAGGGCAGCAGTGCGCCCTGGAAGCATAGAAAAGAATAGCTACACCGTTGCTGTATTTGTTAGTTTGAATAAAAAAACAAATCAAAACATAAAATTTGTCAGCTCGTCATCATGTCCAACACAAGAAAGCTGCATATGTTCAGACCCCCGCCCGCTATTAGCTAGACGCCAGTCTCTGACTCCCAAACTCACCTCAAGTTGTTCATCCTTCTTTTCCTAGTACCAGAACTCCCGGTCCGGTCCCAACGTGTCCGTTCCAAAGTCTTTCTATTCAAGTCTCCTCTCTTCTCGCAGCCTGCCGTCTCGCCCAACACGCTCCAGCACTAGTCCGCTAGCCAGTGGCTAAATCAGCGTCGTTTCAGTTAGCTCCACAACACTTTGCTAATGGCGATGTTGTTCTCCACGTGTTACTGAGACGCTCCGACACAGAGGGCTTCTCCTCAAATGTTACCTTTAGACTTTGGTCTCCTTTTGCTGGTAATCCGTGGGAGTTTACGCGCAGCATGCACAGCATCTCCCCGGCTCTAGCCATGGTAACTTGTGACGCCTATCTCCACCACGCCAGCCGTGAGCCACGATTAGCTGGTGGATAAGTCAACATTGTTTACTTTATCTCCAGCATGTCCCCGGCTCACCAACACTCCCTCACCAGCCATGGTTAACAATCAGCCAGTGATCGCTCCATATCCATAAAAGCTTGGAAGCGGCAGCCAGTTTGTTTGTGTTGTGGAAAATTATGTTCCCTGGAAATATTCCGTTTCCCTTGGGCAGTCAAGAGCAAATATTTCCAAATTCACAGAACTTATTGACCATTATGAGGACTAAACTACCTCAAATAAAAGATGGTTAAACTGAGTGAGATTACATCTTTTTACATAACTTTCAAAAATTATAATCTGGCTGCAAAAGAGTGAACAAGAATGTTTTTACTGTATCTTTATTGTTTTTAGGAGGAAATACAGATAAAGAAAAATCACATGCACAACAGTATTACATTATATTACATCATTCTCCCGTAAAAGTTTATCGCAAATTTTGTGAAAATAGCCTGAAGTACAAAATCCCGACACGGGGACAGAATATTTCAGGGGAACAGTTTCTCAAACCGGACCTCCCGGCTGACGTCATCCCTCCTGTGTGTGTCGTGAACGCTTCAAGATCTATCAGAACTAGCTTGCTGCCTTCAGAACTGGTAGGTTGATAAAACAGTCATAATTATAAATGCCTTTTTTTAAAGAGGTCGAGTAGCTTGTTTTAAGCTTTGTGTGGGTTAGGCTAGACAGGTTGAAAATTGATTATACAGTCAAACTCATGAGTGAGCCACCGTAGCTGCAATACTTTCCTCATGATTTCAATGGATTTCACACATGGGGCCTTTAATAAAAAACTAATGTATTTTTTTTTTTTTCAAAAATGACAAATCTTTTATAGTAAATATTTAGGGAAGAGGAAAAAAGATCACTGACTTAATTTCTCAAAAACATTCTATCCAATCTTAATGTTCTGATTTTTCTCTCGAATTCCCAGAATAATCAAGGCTTCAATTAAATTATTCAACTAATGTGCTTTAAAAAGATTTGACTTGTATGAATCAACACAACCCCAGCACCTCATCTTTGTTGGAATTTTATTTGGGGTTTAGCACCAACCTCTCCATTTACTGAGGAACCTGTTTTTGATGAACATTGTGACACAGCAATGACTGAGAAACATCACAGACTCTGTAAGAGTCACCTTGAACAGCTTTAACCCACATGTCTTCATTGTAAAAGCATTTTCTCTACCGCATTCCTCTACTCTCTGTCCTCTGTGTGTACACTCTGTTTCCTTTTGTTTTGGTTATTCGACTTACTGCCGTCAATGGCAACAGTCATACAGGACCTAACAGCCCTTATCAAAGGGCCTGGTACCCCATTCTCCCGAAGTGCTCTCCAGAGGACCCCTGGAGCTTGTCCACAGAGGAGTTTTTGACCACTTCATTGGCCTCAGCACCAAAGATTGGAAAGCCCAATCAAAAGTCCCCAAACGTTGCTTCCTCACTGGAAGACGTGCTGGTGGGATTGAGAGGGTCTTTGAAGTCCCACGCATCAATCCACGACATCCCAAATTGAGGTCAGCAGCACATCGTCCCTACTACAAACAGTGTTGGTAGTGCACTGCTTTCCCCTCCTGAGGCATCAAACAGTTGACAAGAATATCCTCGACGCCGTATAGAGGGTTTGCTCCATGGTCTCACTGATCTCCTCCCACGCCCAGGTTTTCAAGAATACCAGAGCCACATTTCACTTGGACGGCAGGTACCTATCAGTGGCCTCTGAAGTCCCACAGGCCAAAAGGACCTGATAAGAGTCTTTCTTCAACTCAACAGCATCACTAACCACCAGCGGGTTCAGCGTTTGCCTCCACGACAGACACTGAAGACCCTGTGGCTGCCGCTCTGGTTGTTTGGTTGGTTACATGAGAGATGATGTTCAACACACACAGGTACTTTACAAGACATGCCAAACACTAGTGGCAACCATAAGAAATCTTCAAAGCGGCACTAGGAAATACCGGGGGCAGTTGGACGATATTTGGCTACAACTATAATATGCTAATGAATACAGCGAGCGGAGAGCCATCGAACTGAACAACTGGGTCAAGCTTCAGTGTTTTGGACATAGACTGGACTTCGCAATGGCTGTCTGCGGAAGTAAACATATATGTTTAGCACTGTAAATGTTTTATATAATTGTCCTGTAGTTTTAAATGATCTCAATATATTTAAATGATTATTTTTTTACAAAAAGATTTTAAAAGATTATGCTAATTTTGAGATATCTGAACCAGAAGGTGAAGCTCTCGTTTCAATCGGTCGATCTACGTTCTAACCCTCATCTATGGTCACAAATTTTGGGTAGTGACCAAAAGAATGACAACAAGAATACAAAAGTTTTCTCCACAGGGTGTCTGAGCTCTCCCTTAGAGATAGGGTGCGAAGCATCATCCGGGAGGGGCTTGGAGTAGATCCACTGCTCATCCACATTGAGGAGTCAGTTGAGGTGGCATGGGCATCTGTTTAGGTCTTGCAATCAAACCTTCTAGAATTGTTCTAAATGAGGCACATTGGAATCTTCTAACACAGAGTGGGCAATCCTGGCTATCCAGCGTGTTTTAGGTTTATCCCAGCTTTAACACACCTGGTTTTAATTAGCAAGTATTTGAAAGGCTTCTGCATAGCTTGATGACCTGCTGAATGGGTGGTTCAACCACTGAATTAACTGTGTTGGAATAGGGAAATAACTAAAACTTGCTGGATAGCAAGCCCCAAGGATTGGAGTTACCCACCCCTGTTCAACATAATTTTTATAAGGGATTAATCCTCATTTTTTTCAGTAAATATGTGGTTAAAATATATTTATATCTACCAGGAACACATTATTTCATAGTACTAATGGACTTCCAGACAGACATAATTTTCTTTTCTTTTTTTTGGTTACCCTGCCCTCACAGCTTTCATAACACAATCAGTTTATAGTTTATAAGTGCCAGCTTTAAACAAAAAACAGAAGTCTGTTAATAAAGGAACACTGTCTCGATTTTCGGGATGTATGAAAAGTAAGGAAAATGCTGCAAAGTCCAACATATTGTCACTCTAGCTGGGGCCAATCCTGGAACAACTGGCTAAAAAACTGAAGAGTTCTTTAGTTATATTTATGAAATTCACAAAGTACAAACCACTGGTAAAAGACAAATATTTCTACACTACACAGACTTTAATAGCAGAGCATACATGCCATGCTAAACGTTTTCTGTCGCAACACTCCAAAAGTGGAACCCAGGGACATCAGCTCAGGCTGCAACTGATCACTGTGTAATGACGAGTGGCCACAGTTGGCATTTTGGCTAGGGTCGCTGGGGACATGTCTCCGCAAATATAAAAAATGGGTGTTTTGTCCCCACCACTTTTACACAAGTCTCTCAGTAAAGAATCCAGCCATCCCTGGGGGGGGTCAGATGTATATTTCACCTGGAGAGGGTAGGTTCAGACAGCAAAATTTGGAGTCTCATTTCCTCATATTTGGACATCTTTTCTCAGATTAGATAAAAGCAACACCACTCTACCACTGACTCTGCCTTGCAACGTTGATGTGTTGAGTGGTTAGCTTCTACTAGTCAAGAAGATCTCTGCAGTTTCCTGGACGCTAAGCCAACAACAGCCTGTCATGAGCCAATATGGGATAGTCCAAGAAACAACTTGATGTAGAGTGGTCAGGCTTTTCAAATCCTTGCTATCAGAAGCTAATGCAGGAAATATGTGTAGGACAAATTTTTCATGTTCAGTCTAAATGTTAAACTCTAGAGTGACCAATCATTTTCAAAAATAATAAGTAAACTCAGTGAAGGACCTGTTTAACATGTTCCACTCCACACAGAAAATAATTATTTTAACCAACTTCATAACCTGGATGTCGCTTGTTCACTTATAACTTCAAAAATTATGGCCAACTTTTCTCTGATACTTGTAGGTCTATATTTCTTTTCAGCAATGACAATTTTACTTTGAATATAAAGATAACATAATTAATGAATTTTGTTAAATTTGCAACATTTAAGAAAAAGCATGGCATGCTGGGAAATCTGTCCCATCCAACCAGCGTGCTGAATTGTAAACACTAGCTAGCCCTTTAGCTAACTTTAGGCAGTGGCAGATTTAGCAATTTGGGGGCCCAAGGCAAACACAGACATGGGCCTCCTTACACTAAATTTTCAACAATCTTACCTTTAACTGGATTTGCGAAACTCTACCCTCTTCTGACATGAGTTATTTTCACTTTTTATTAGTCATCCTCCTTTTTCCTGTCTTTCTCTCCCTTTGAGTGCCTTCAGTATTTGCTCTGTTTTCTTCTTCCTGTCAGTGCTCCTGTGCTTTTGCCTTTCTTTTTTTCCTGCTATTTTCCATTTTGGTCTATGTTTTCCTCCCTTTAAACATTTTCTATTGTCTTTCCTTTTCTGCTTCCTTTCGATGTTTACATTGAAAAACAATGTCACTTTCGGAAGAGAAGATAAAAGCTTTTTTAAAACAAGCTGCTTCTTTCTCTTACTGGAGCCACTAGGATAACTCAATTTCATGCCTAATGTTTTGACTACTGCTTTGAGTTTGTTATGAACGTTCCTTCCTCTCTTCTTCTTCTGCTTTTTCTTCTTTGTGGTCTTATGGCACTTGGCAAACAACAATTTGGTGCATTACTGCCATTGGATTGGAGTTGAATGACTACCAATCACTTCCTGTTTGTGCATCGGCGTCTTAAAGGAATAGTCCATTGTGGCATTAACAGAGGGGTGCCAGCAGTCAGGGCTAGGGGACCCCCAACATAAGGGGGCCCCAGGCAGCCACCGACATATGCCTAATGGTAAAACCACCACTGACTTTAGGTTAATATCAAACATGATAAAACTGGTACTTTGTTGTCAGTTTTACTGTTGGTACTGCACTTAAAGCTCAGTTTTGATGGATATTGGTTTAAAAAATTTTCTCGGGCAGTCCTACTGTGAGACCGCAACTATATATTTTTCTTGGAAAAGCTCAGCTTTGGTGAGTGAATATGGGATTAACCAAAACTTGACGCAGCTAAGCTACGTATTATTTTGTTGGTATTTTTCTGCAAAAGTTTGCAAGTGCTGCCGTGGCTCAGAAGTTAGGAGCTTGTCTCGCAATCAGTGATCAGTAGGACTGATTCCAACTTTTACAATTTTTTACTGAATAAAGCTCATGAAGCTAAGCCTAACCCCTCCTTTCCACTGGAGCCGTCAGCAGCAAGTTACTGCAACAGCACGTCTTGCTCGCGTATGCTGCTGCTTGGCTCTTCCCACGAGACGTGAAGCAGCAGGGGAGCAGCTGTCACCGACAGAGCACGAAGTCACGCAACATTAGCAAAATCACGCGTGACTTAGTCAACAAACAACAACAAGCAGGAGAAAACTACAACATGGCTCCAAAAGGTTTGTCTATTATGTTCTGTCCGTTTTATAATCGCCAATACGTTTATGTTAAGTCAGGGAAGGTAGTACGTTTCTTTATTCTGAAAATCTCGGGAAGCTTTGCTCCGTTTCTGAGTCCGATTTCCTGTCTTTCCTTCCCCAAAAATGTCGAACTTGACCCGTTTCAGAGTCGTAGCGCGTAGAAAATAGAACCGGTGCGTAAGGGCCGCGACATGCTGCTCCTGAGACGCGGCCGACTCGTGCTGCCTACGGCTCCGGTGGAAAAGGTTCTGTTGACCATAGCGGTACACATCAGCAGCTATGACGTGCTGCTGCAGTAACGTGCTGCTGACGGCTCCATCACGGCTCCGGTGGAAATGAGGGGTAACTCTTAAACACCCATCAATACACTGCAGTGTATATTGTAATAAAAGGCCAAACAAACAAATACCTATATTTAAATCATTTTAAATTATTATAATGTCCCCAGCAGTCTTCAAGCCACACTCACATTTATGTATATCATCCCCACCAGTTTATAAAATAAACTAACACCCTTGTGAGCGATTTAGTTAATTTTTTTTACAAGGGCAGAAAGAAGTGGTCCATGGGCGATACAATATCCTGATCTAGGATTACAAACTGACAGATTGTAAAAACTTCATGGGTGTCTTTTGGTACTGTTGTAGCTAAACAAGTTCTTTGTTTCCGGAATGGACTCTCATGTGTCTATTTAAATTTGTTTTTCGGTTAAATTTTTGTTCACAAAGCTCACAAGCAAAAGGTTTCTCTCCTGTGTGGACTCTCATGTGACTGTTTAAAGTTGTCTGTAGGCTAAATCTTTGTTCACAGAACTCACAGCCAAATGGCTTCTGTCCTGTGTGGCCTATCATGTGACTGTTTAAAGTTGACTTGTGAGTAAACCTTTGCCCACAAAGCTCACAGGCAAAAGGCTTCTGTCCTGTGTGGACTCTCGTATGACTGTTTAAATTTGTTTTTCGGCTAAATGTTTGTCCACAGAACTCGCAAGCAAAAGGCTTCTGTCCTGAGTGGATTAACATGTGACTGTTTAAAGTTGGCTTATGACTAAATCTTTGTCCACAGAGCTCACAGGCATAAGGCTTCTGTCCTGTGTGGACACTCATATGACTGTTTAAAGTTGTCTTTTGGCTAAATCTTTTTCCACAGAGCTCACAAGCAAAAGGCTTTTGTCCTGTGTGGACTCTCACATGTCTGTTTAAAGTTGTCTTTTGACTAAATGTTTGTCCACAAAGCTCACAACCAAAAGGCTTCTGTCCTGTGTGGACTGTCATGTGTCTGTTTAAAGTTGTCTTTTGACTAAATCTTTGCCCACAAAGCTCACAGGGAAAAGGCTTCTGTCCTGTGTGGACTCTAATGTGACTGTTTAAATGTGACTTTTGGCTAAATTTTTTTCCACAAAAGTCACAAGCACAAGATGTCTGTCCTGTGTGGGCTGTCAAGTGACTGTTTAATGTTGACTCAGATGACCCGCTATCGTTCCATTCACTTTCTCCATCTCCAGTTTCAGGCCTAGAGTCTGAATGTTCAGAGTCTAAATTCACATCGTCGTTCTCTTCATCATCTCCACTAACTTCTGTCTCTGAAGAATCAAATGTCTGTTCATGAAGGTTCAGATAAGGGTTCCTGCTAGTTTCTGCTTCTCCAACAGTTTTTGTTGTCATCTGATCAACTGAGCTGCCGGCTGGAACATATATATCTTCTATTTGCTGCTGATGAAGCTGTGAGAACACAGGTTTCTCTTCATCACCCTCACTCTTTATGCAAACTACAGTGAATGGAAACGTGGCAGCATCAGTCTCCTCCAAATGGAGCTGTTCTACCTCCGGATTGGTCCAGGGTTCGTCTAGTTCCTCCTTTATGTGGAGGCACTCTGGGTCCTGCTGGTCCACACCAGCATCCTGTTCTTCAAGGACTTCTTCTTTAACCATCACCATCTGTTGAACAGCTGTAGGAAACAAAAACACAATGTGAATTACAGACCACTCTAACTGGGAGCCTGTATCTCCTCCCCTTCCTGTCGGCTCATGGGTCCCCGAAAGAAAGAAAAGATGAATGCAGGTGAATGGGGCTATAAAAGCTATTGTAACATTAATGATTGTCTACATTATAACAAATACATTTATAACACAACTTTCTAATCTGCTTTGCCTTACACCCTGATTCAGACATGTGTTGTACTTCCATTTAAATGAAAATAAATCAAGTGAGTTTTGACCATGTCTGTCACGTACTTTGAGACTTGTTAAGCCTGGTTCATGCTTCTCCGTCAGCTCCGCAAGGGACAGACACGCACGGATTGACGGAAGCATTTTGCTCTCATACTTCTCCGTCTCCTGGAGAGTGTTGCAAAGCAATTCCCCAACAGGACAACAGAGGGCGTAGCGCTGTTCTGTGGTATCCTGTCAGGTATCCGGTCCAAGATAGTGTGTTTGTATTGTTTTTTTGTTGTTTTTTTTTTGTATATAAGAGACTTTTTAGCACGGACAAATTTGTCTCTCATCCTCCTCCACCTCTTCATGCGCTCGCCACCTCTAAACCCACGTTTCCTGTCATTTCCGTCCACAAATAAAACGCTTGCTGTGCATCTTTTCACTCCTCCAGTCACGGGGAATTAAACGTTCATGTTTTTAGAGTTTTTTCGCGAGGTATTCTTCAAGCTTCTCCGTGTCTGCCGCTAGTTATCCTCGGCTCTCTTTATGTTTTTGAGGGCACAAGGGCGGCAGTGTACACGCAGCAGCGTCTTGACCAATCACAAGCTTGCATTGTCCGTCTCGACTGACGGATGTTTAGAAAAGAGAGCTCGACTCCGTCCGTCCTTGCGGAGCTCTCCAGCAGGCCCGCAAGGACATTGCGTGTCTCTGCACTGACGCAGACGGAGAAGCATGAATCAGGCTTTAGTTTGTAAAAATTTGTAAATAAAATGACTACAAATCATACGGCCCATATAGGACATCACCGCAGAATCTCTTCTCAGCGCATAGCTGCTACTTACCACATGACCAGATTTATTGTCGTTTCCCCCACATTTAATGCTCCTTCTGTTGTCCTGGAAGCAGTATGAGGCAGAGCTGCTGTGACTCTGCCCCATAGCAATACTGGCTGCAGACATTTACAAATAAAGGGGATGGTGGGGTTTTTTTCTTCAGCTTGTAGAGTTTAGTCATTCTTTAGTTTAGTTTTTTCAGAAACCCATTTGATCGTGAGCGTGCTACCTGCTAGCATTGGCCAATCTGCCCATAGTTTAACTCTTGATCCCAAACTTTAAACCATTTCTGCTTTTTAACAATGGTTTGTGTCTTTGCAGGTTTCTCTACTTTCCTCCACAGCACCTAGATTACCACACTGTGCGCCAGTAATATGTGTGGTGCACATATTTAACAAAGCCTTGAATCAGTAAAAAAATGATTCGAGAAATGAAATGAATGGAACCATTCGAGGATTCCTTTCAGCCCTACCCAGACGTGAACACAATATACCCTACCAGGGCTGGTCGGTGCCGACCCAGATGTGAAAGCACCATTAGTGGCAGATTAAGACACCCACGATGTCAATAGGAACATTATTGCAAGTCATTCATTCCCACTGCAGTAAGACAACAGCTTAACTGTTACTGGTATTATGCCGCCTCACACTAACATCTATGAAATAATCCGTGTGTATACAACACCCAGATGTACATGTATGTGTCCTTTATTATTAATCCTTTTTCATTTTGTAAACTTACTTTTCAATTAAATTTTTTATTTTATTTATTTAAGGCTACACTAGACGCCTGATGCCTTTGAGTCTTTATCTGCATTTTTGTATTCTGTTTGTGTATATGCTGCCTTGCACACACACACACACACACACACACACACACACACACACACACACACACACGTTCTGTAGCAGTACCTGTATTCGTGATGCAGTCTGGATCCATACGGAACAAACTTTGGTTGAAGTGAGGGACACGTAACAGATGAAAAGTAGCACGCTTTGTTTTGCTGTATGTTGCTGCAAAGTAAACAAACGGGAGAGCTGATTAAAAAGCTACTTCAGAATTAAACATTAGATTAAGGATCCAACGGTTTGGCTCTAATCAGCGGAGAATGTAGCCATTCGGGAAAAGAAGACCCGTGGTCACTCAAACACCAAGTACACGGAGTCGAGCCAACAGGTTTTCCTCACTCAAAAGTCAAATTCTGATTCGAGTTTTCCTTCGGAGTCTGAGAATGATGGATCAGAGACCGATTAGTGGTCCTCCATTATGACCAACTAATGACCGACTCTGTCAGATACACAGGACAGGGAATTCCATCAGGGTTTCTGCTTACCTTGATTTGCAGCACCGGTTGTCACGCAGATTCCTTCTCTGGTTCTGGAAAGAACTCGCCCCGGTTGAGGAAGACAATTAAGTTTTTATAGCCTGGTAAGAATATTTCTTCATCAGCAGCAGTTAGTCACTTTTGCTGATAAACTCTCTCAGAGACTAAACCGAAGACGTTAGTACAGAGCTCAAAATACTAAAAAAACAAGCTAACTTTGCTAACAACTTCCGGTCTTCTACTTCTTCGACTGCTTTTTTCTACTTCTGTTTATGATGTTTGGGAGGGTGGCAACCAGCGTGAAGATAGATTACTGCCCCCTGCTGGACTGGAGCCTGGAACGACCATAGACTGACGCAATTTATGTTCAATGCTCCTTTCTCCAAATCTGAAAGAATTTCGTTTTCTCTTGATTTTGGACTCAATCGAAGAAGTTTTTGGAAGCAAACAAAAGCTTTCTGAAAAATGTTTGTAGTTTTTTCCCCCTTCTTCTAAAAGACATCATTTGAAGACAACAAAGTTTGCTTTTTGGACAGAGAAGACAAATGGTTTGACATATGGGTTTGGGAATGTTTGCATGCCCAAACAACCCCTCTCCCAACAGAAAAAGCTTGTTTTTAGAACAGATGTGGAAGCTAAGTTTGAGTTCATATACGTTTAAGTCTGTGAAAAATTAAAGGGACGTTATGGAAGTTTGACAGGCAAAACATGTATAGAAATAATAAATTTCTTCATTCTCCTGCAATGCCCTGGTCCTGTAGAATGAGCCCTGGCATTTTTACTGTGATTGCCTGTTTTTCTGTAAAATCACAGAAAAAGAGAGATGCTCGGGTCGAGCAGGCTGCTTCATGCGCGTTCACGCTCAGGCATAGCCCTCCAAACCGTTCTTTGAATGTTGTTTCAGCTGTCATCAGGATATAAATGTTACAGATACAAAAGACATCACTTGAGCTTTAGCTTGCCTGGTTAAATGCTGGGCTTTTGTGCAGAAGACCTGGGTTCGATTCTGGATGTGAACATAGTTTATTTAGAGTTTCTTTTTTACATTAATGGTATACTTTTTTTACAGTAAGATGCCCAAACTTTTATTTGAGACTCGCCGAACAGCATTGAATTCACAGATAAAAAAGATGTAGGTTCAACTTTCATTTTGGAACAATTTTTCAAGCAAGGGAAGAGAATGATCTGAGCATGCAGGAGGACAGACCCATCTTAAACCTTTGTCGGCTGTGCTGAAGAGAAAGGTACAGAACCAAATTATTTAATTAATTAGCTGTGCGCTCTCCCGTCCTCTGTCCTCTGGGCCACACACACGCACACACACACACACACACACACACACACACACACACACACACACACACACACACACACACACACACACACACACACACACAAGGGACTGTCTCAGCTGTTATTTTCGGTAAGGAGTGTGCACGTACAGCATATGCGCCTGGTGCACAAGCCTACTATTGAAACTGCCGTTACGCTTTTGGCCATTTGTGTATTTCGTCGTCGTCGTCTTCCGCCACTTATCCGGGTCCGGGTCGTGGGGCAGCATCCCAACTAGGGAGCTCCAGACCGTCCTCACCTTGGCCTTCTCCACCAGCTCCTCCGGCAGGACCCCAAGGCGTTCCCGGACCAGATTGGAGATGTAACCTCTCCAACGTGTCCTGGGTTGACCCGGGTGCCTCCTGCCGGCAGGACATGCCCGAAACACCTCCCCAGGGAGGCGTCCAGCAGGCATCCTGACCCGATGCCCAAACCACCTCAGCTGGCTCCTTTCAATCCGGAGGAGCAGCGGTTCTACTCCGAGTCCCTCCCGAATGTCCGAGCTCCTCACCCTATCTCTAAGGCTGAGTCCGGCCACCCTACGGAGGAAACTCATTTCGGCCGCTTGTATCCGCGATCTCGTTCTTTCGGTCATTACCCAAAGCTCATGATCATAGGTGAGGATTGGGACGTAGATGGACCGGTAAATCGAGAGCCTGGCTTTCTGGCTCAGCTCCCTCTTCACCACGACAGATTGGCTCAGCGTCCGCATCACTGCAGTTTTGTGTGTTTAAAAATGTTAATTTGTCAAAATAAGTCTTGTTTTGGTCAATTAATGTAGGGTAGAAAATAGGTTACTGTCACTTTAAGAAAAAGGCAGACACACGAGGTGGGGCTGTAAAAACCAGTTACATCCAGCTGAGCGTGGTGAGGTGTGGAGCAATATGGTTTCTGCATTGTTTTATTTAAACCAAGGAAAACTTAATTTTGGACACTCCTGTAAGATTACAAGCTGTGGAATAAATTTTTTGTTATCTTTTCATCGGAGTACTGTGGAAGCTTGTCTCCTCATCATTAAACATGCACGAGTAAACCAAGGCCAAGGATGCCTCACCAGCCACAACAGATTTGACATAAAAAAAAAACTATAATGATAATAATGCCTACTTAGCAAGCTAAGCAAATGTTTCATGCTCCACTGTGTAATGATAGCTTAGTCATATGTTACTTTTGAGATGAATGTATTCTAATTAACTTATAACTGTTTCAGTTTTCCACACAGTGTGAAATATGCTGAAGCAGAACTATGTATAGCGTGAGAAAAATATTTAATAATTAACAAAGAGCTTTAAATCAGTGTGACCTTCAAACAAACTCCAGGAGGTCACACGTATTTACAATCTATGAGAAGAAATGTAAAACAAAGGGTTTGGTGAACACAGAAGACAAAAGGAAAATAAACCATGTAGCATAAAGCATGGAGATGCCGTTATTTTTAAATGGGGAGGTGAATTTACGCCCTCTAGTGGCAAAAGACTAACTACACTCTGGTTCCATTAAAACAAAAGGGATGGGTATTTGGCGCCCTCCAGTGGCAAAAAGCTGGAACTGTTTACCCGAATCCTTAGAACAGTTTAGCTTCCTGATTTCAGCAGCAGAAAAAATGTTCACATTTGTTGTATTCTTAATATTAAGGAGGATGGGACTACTTTTATAAAGTTGCAATATTCAGTAGATACATTTTCTGTATATTCTTTCAAAATAAAAGGCTATGATATCTGTGGTGTTAGCAACAAGGAATTCTGCTCTTTCTCCAATTGCTTAACTTAAAATTGAATAAAAGTTGTATTTATGTAACAGTGTTAAATACAATAGCTGTGAATAATTTATTGGAGTTTTCACATCTATTGCTAAAAGTGCTAAACCCAGGTGTGCTCCAAACTGGTTTTTTCATTGACAATTATTTACAAACTGAGAGATGCGTTTACGCCCTCCAGTGGTGAAAAGCTTGAACTGCACTCTGGTGATGGTAAACTGCTTAAAAGCGAAGGGGGTGGGGATTTGGTGCCCTCCAGTGGCGAAAAGATGCAACTGTTATACTAGGTTCTACGTTTGGCACAAGTAAAACAAAAGATGTCGTGTTCTGTTCTTTTGAAATAGGTCTCTCATATCGGAGATCAGTCGCAGGGTCTCCGATGCTATTTTTTTATTATATAGGAACAAGGCTGTCAAGATGTGTAGAGCTGATTATCTTGACTATGCTCTACTCATCGTGAAAAACTGAAGTAAACTTCTTCATCTCTCATGGTGCCAAGAGTGAAAACCCGATGACCTGTTCTTTTTTCTTCTTTTTTTCTAATCATTTTTATTCAGTCCGAATCAAGATGCAAATGTGTTCATGAACATATTTAAAGTTTCATCATTAAAATTAGTTAAAACTATTCAGATTCCAGTTTCGGATTAAATGAGTTGGTTATGAAAAGAAAAACACTTTTAGTCTTTTTAAAACTTCTAAGTCTTTTTGACATAAAGTTAAATTTGATTTGCCACATAAGATTTCTACAGTATTCCTCTTTAACGGTCAGTTAAGGGCAGAGGCGGTTTTACCATTAGGCATAGGTCGGAGGCCGCCTGGGGCCCTTTTGTGTTGGGGGGCCCCCTAAGCCCTGACCGTTCAAGATATCATTAAAATTCCAAAAGTGCTTAAAAAATTAAAAATGGGGCTTTTCGTGCATATACAATACATTACGGTATAGCTGCCAGGATTTCCTGTCTTGAGCGCAACAAATCACAACACAGATTCAGAGACGTGCTGAGTTTGTCATCCAAAATGCTCCGTTTTATAACTTTTGAATGCCTGATCAGATTCAAATAATTCCAACGGTTCCTTCAAGTACATAAAAGCAGCTTTCCAACGATCTATAACATGAAGCAATCAGAGTTATGGAAAACATTGCTACGAGGGGAAATCCTGCTGTACAGCCTGATTGAAACGGAGCGCAGCGCCGCGGTGAAAGCGGATAACGGAACGGGGAAGCTAATTAGCACAAAAAGCCAGCATGAAATTATGGAAATGCCTCAAAGAAAATCAACACGATCTATTAGGTGTCCCAGAAGGCTTATATCTGAAGACAGTGACCACGAAGAAGGACAGATCTCCGGTGAACCAGGGTATGAATGTTTGTTCAGTCTTTATTTTTTTATTTGAACAACCCTCAACTATTTGCTAATTGTAAGATTCAGCTTCATTCCAGCATTATTTATCTTTTTACAATAAATAATTACATTTGCTAAAACAAAAGTTTTTGGTATAGCAGTGCACGGTGTGCAAGAGAACCACCCCATGGCAGTGTGAGGTGTGCTCTGCCTGCAGCTGGAGAGAAACTGCTTCAAGGTCTACCACATCAAATAAAAACGTCTGAAAGTTTACAAAAATAAATGGTCTTAAAAACTGCTAAAAAAGATACCAAGGTTCAAACTTTTTTAAGAATAGATGTATTTCAGTTCAAAGTTTAAATAGTTTGCCCAGTAATTTTGAAGTTCCTGTTCAGTAATAAATGTAAAAAATTCAAATCAGTTTTTTGCCTTTTTCACTTTTAAGCTGATTTTTAAAGGCTTTAATAGAAATAAATTCTAAATACAAACCATACACTGAAAGCTGAGGTTGTTCTGAAAGAAGAAGAGTTACACACACTTTGCACATTTTATTACAGTTTTACAGCCATAAGATTAAAAAATACCAGGCGGCCCTGTTATAATTATGGTCATGAGAGGGTTATTAAGACGGCGATGCACAAACAGGAAGTGATTGGTAGTCATTCCACTCCAATCCAGTTGGTGGCGGTAATGCACCAAATTTTTGTTTGCCAAGTGCCATAAGACCACAAATAAGAAGAGAGGCGGGAGCGTTCATAACAAACTCAAAGCGATAGTCAAAACATTAAGCATGAAATGGAGTTATCCTAGTGGCTCCAATAAGAGAAAGAAGCAGCTTGCTTCATAAAAGCTTTTATTTTCACTTCTGAAAGTGACGTCGTTTTTCGATGTAAACATCAAAAGGAAGCAGAAAGGAAAGACAATGGAAAATGTTTAAAGAGAGGAAAACATAGACCAAAATAGAAAATAGAAAAAAAAACTAAGGCTAAAGCACAGGAGCAGTGACAGCAAAAAGAAAGCAAAGCAAATATTGAAAGCACTCAAAGGGAGAGAAATACAGGAAAAAAGAGGAGGACTAATTAAAAGGGAAAATAACTCATATCAGAAGAGGGGAGAGTTTCGCAAATCCAATTAACTCATTCACTGCCATTGACGACTAAAGTCGTCATTTTAGATCCAACCCTTCACTGCTAATGACGGCTAAAGTTTTTACTGTTTGAGCATCAGAACGAACCCCTGAGAGAACAAACATCTCAGCCCTGAAGCCGATCTTCATCCGCATATGTCACACGTCACGTGATCAGGAAGCAGACCATCCATGTGTTAGGAGATCGTTTTGGGCCGTTCCTGTACAAAAAGTGAGGCGCGAACCGGAAAGCGTCTGCCGATCACAATTCGACAACGGATTATGAAAGAACGGATAACGCTCGAAACACACGGATTCTTCCTGATGTAAGAGGGGAGTCTCCTCTTTGTTTTGGTTGTTTTGGCGTCGACATAATCCTAGCACGCAGTGTTCTGTGACTCTTAAAAAAACAGTAAAAACGCTGAGAAACGCTGGCAGTGAAGGCCGTTAGCGATCAGGAAACGGCTGGCAGTGAATGAGTTAAAGGTAAGATTGTCGAACATTTAGTGTAAGGGGGCCCCATGTCTGTGTTCGCCTTGGGCCCCCAAATTGCTAAATCCGCCTCTGGTTAAGGGGGTCAAATAACAAAAATCAGTGTTTGGACTAAAATTAAAAGCAGCCAGTAACAAAAATAGGTGCTTTTCAATTCAATTCAAAAATACTTTATTAATCCCAGAGGGAAATTGATTATTGATTGATTTTGGGAAGTAAAATATTAAAACAGATGAATGAATCAGCTTTACTCACAACTATGTTAGATTGCCTGTTGTTAGTAGGTAGATGGACTGTATCAGGGAGGGAGTTAAAGGGTGTCTTCCTGGGGTGTCTGTAAGAACTCAAGTTCAGGCTTTATTTCAACTTGGCCTCTTTATTCTCAGGTGAAAAGTAGTAGCAACAGCAATGCACAGGGGCACGCAGAACAATGATACAGGGCTGAGCAATGAGTATCCAACTCATTAAGGATTACCTAGTTAACAGGGATGTAGGTAGGTGAGTGTGGTTTAGCAGTCATTCACGCACACAAAACTGACTTAACCTGGGAACTAGCTTAGTAAAACTCTCCTCCACTCTGCTGTCTCATGTGCTTCTCCACCTGCTCTGCTTGGTGGTCTCTACACTGTCGTCAGCTCTGCTCTGAGAGCGAGTCCGCAAGTGTGCCACCTGGTGGCCTTTCCAACACAACTACGTTTATATTTTATAATAAAAATAGACTCAATAGAGCTTCTCTCTAGTTAATCTGTATCCAGTAACTGTGCAATTGTTTTTGAGGTGTCAGATACTGAAAATGTCTAATTAAATTCACTGTATACATCCAAGTGAAACCTTCACAGTAAAATCCCAGATAAAGAATTTAAGTTTCTAATTCCTAGTTTGAAATAAATAAATCTGGAAAACATTCCAAAACCAGTCAAAAGCACTGAAATATTTTCTAAATTTAGCTGCACTTTACTTGTTGCATGAAGTATGCAACAAGCTATGTTTATGTCCTAAATGACCTAATTGTATCATAAATAAATGTTACGCTCCAGTAAAAAAAATTTCAAAACCTTGAAATAATTAAAAATTCAATCATTTTAATTTGTAAGAACCCTGAATGTACCTACCAGACTGCAGATCATCCTCCACAACCTGCTCAGATCAGGTGTGCAATCGGATTTGTAGGTAAGTAAATGGTGCGACCCGTTTCTCAGGTATGTTAATCAGAGGAACATACAGTACAGAGTAACTGACGTCAAACTAAACCCAACAACAAAGCACCTTATTTCTGTTAATCCAACATCTTTGTTTAACCTGGATGAGGGTTTAAATATTTATGACACCACTTTGTAACAGATCATTTTATTAAAAAAGATGTTTTTGAATACACACAGACATGTTCAGTTTAAATACAATCTAAAATTAATCTTTTACATTTATGCTTTTTATAATACTGGGAATGCACTACTCTTTAAAACAATCTGAATCTAGTAAACTCTACAAGAATGTAGCAGTTAGCGCCGCAGCTACCAGAGAAGCATAGTGTGGAGTTTGTATACAAATACACCACGCACAAACAATAAAACAAGTATATCTGCACACGCCTGGCGTCTGGCAGCTCCTCATAAATAAATCCAACAGGGAGGAACTCGGGACTTGGTTGGCCACCTGACGCTGCTCTGTTCCTCATAAATACAAGACAAATCCTCTTCTGATAAGAATCACGTAGCTGTTAGTTCATCTGGAGTGTTTTCAGTTTGAGTCCTCAAGGCTGCTGCTTTTCTGCTCCGAGCCGCAGCCGCACAGACGTTCCATGATGCTCTGCAGGCTGGGCTGCACGATACCTAGCAGAGGTCTGAGAGAGGGGTCTCCGTTCCAGCAGGCCTCCATCAGCTGCCAGCACTCCTCATCAAAACCAGCCACCCGCTCCGGTCTGGAACCTGAAACACACCGAATCTACCTGAAGGTCCACATCTGCATCTCATCATGTGTCCAAATGTGGTTTCATTCCATTTAAATGATCCAAACGTTTATGTTTAAGTAAAAAAAAAAACAAAAGCCTGAAGCCTAGCAGGATAATAAGCATCTTCTGAGACACAATCTGGTCCTCAGGCTGAGCTGTGGGTGGCAGAGTGAGCTATGATGAGCTCAGAGAGCAGCGATCTCTCTTCTGCGGAAAGCTCTTGTGTCTCATTGGCAAAAGAGAAGATGAATAACTTTGATTTCTTATCACTGATGAACAGATGATGTTTGGGAGCAGCGTTTACCTTTTTTAACGTTATTCCAGAGCTGGTCCTTGCTGGAGCATTTCTCAAAGGCTTCTGGGAGTTTCACTGATCCGGTGCAGAGGTACCAGAACAGGATCCCAAAGGCGTAAACGTCCACCGAGTTATCGTACTTCCCTGTCAGGAGAAGAATCACAGCGGGGGCTGTTATAGTTATGCTGACACACACACACACACACACACACACACACACACACACACACACACACACACACACACACACACACATGCACGCACGCACGCAGGCAGGCAGGCACACACGCTACAAATTCCTGTCCTAATAATATCATGTCTGCTCTTAAATCTGCACAGTTTCCTGAATTTAATTAGATCTGAAGTATTTGTTACATGTTAGCTGCTTTCTGTAAAATGTCAGACCAACTAGGGCTGTCGCAATAATCGCAAGAACAATATATCGCAATATTAAGAAACCCACCGCGCTGCATGACGTGCCACCGCAATTACCGCACTTGATTAAATCTCGCGACAGCGCATGCTGAGAGGTAAAGTCCGCGCTGATCGAGGAGACAGTAGGGCACTTTTTTTTATTTCTGTTAGATGTTGCAGCCAAATTTGCATTTCAAAGTTAAACCTCCTGAATGTTGTTTTTAAGTTCAGTCAGAGAATGCCGTTACTGCCCTTTTATCTGCATTCAATAAAGTGTTAAAAATGGCCACGTATTTTTTCTAACATTTTTTAAATGTGTAAGCACAATGTTTCAAAGGAAATATTGCCATGAGTTTAGTAATTAACAAACAAATTTGCTAAGTACATAAATAAAAACGGGGTGCAATAATATCGCATATCGCAATATTGAGCTGCCCTGACTCACCGCAGGGGAAATTCCTCAATCGCGACAGCCCTAAGACCAACTACACAGAATGACTTCATAATTCAGGATTTCCCCAGTGAGGTGAACGTGTGAGAGGTCAGCGGTCATACCCGTAAACAGCTCTGGAGCCATGTGGATGGGAGTTCCTACGATGCTGCCGGACATCATGGCCTCTGGTTTACAGAAGCCCAGGTCGGTGATCTTAGCTCGATTCTGTTTGTCCAACTGAAAGAGAAAAAAGTCTAAACTGTTAAATCCCACGAAGGTTAAAAAACGACCACATTGAACGTAAGAATAATACAAAAATATTTTGCATCCTTAACGTCTCACAGAAAAGAGTTTCTAAAAATTCCTACGACACTTGCTGTGAACAGCAAAATAACGTTCATGTCATCTGTTTAATAAAGAAAATTCTGTCTAACTCTAAATAAACTCAAGACAGACGAGGTCGGATTTCTAGTAGGCGTGTTGATCATCTCAGAGTGACAAGCCTGCAGTAGGGTGACGTTTAGGGTTATTGGTCCAAATGTAGATTAAAATATTGAAAAGTGAGTATGTATTTATACATTTACTCATAAAATGCACATTTTATTTAAGCAAAACAAAGAAAAATAAGTAAAAAGTAAAACGGAAACAAATAATATTAGGAAAACATTTTCTGAGATCTTAAGAAAGAAATGAAACGGCAGGTTAAAAGCTCTGGACACGGGCTAATTTATCCATTTTTGACACATATGTCTGGATTAGATGAAGATTTCATACAGGGTTTAATATTTTTGAGCTTACCAGAACATTCTTTAGTTTAATGTCTCTATGTACGAGACCCTGACTGTGCAGGAAACGCATCCCCTCGACCACATCCAGGGCGATCTGAAGCCTCTCCCTCAGAGACAAACCAGCCTGACAAAGAGCAGATGTTTAGTTGAGGAATAAATGGGAAACTGAAAGTTCTGTGTGTGTGCCGTTTGCAGACTGAAGCTACCTTCAGGCCTGTGTAGAGATCTCGATGGAGTCGCTCCATGATGAGCAGCACAGCGATGCTGGAGCCGCCTCCGTAAGTGTGATCAATCACAGAACCGTGCAGGTCTACGAGCCGCTCATGTTTAGGCAGAGACCTAAGAAAAACACACATCCACAGGGACAAACCAGAAATGTTTACTAGTAAATCACAACCAGCTCGGTGCACTTTTAGTACCTAATATTTATGACCACTGGAGCGTTCCAACATGCTAAGCTGACTCAGAACAGCCTCCAGCCTGAAGCACCAACAGTTTTCTCTTTTATTTGGGTGGAGTTCAGCCTCCGTAACAAAACATGTCACGTGCAATGAAAGCCACAAAGCTGCTCCTAAATCTGCTGCCTCATGTTTCACCTGCACCAGCAGGTTGATTCTGGTGACACTCGCACTGAATTCTGCTGACTCACCTGGTGTAGTGAAACTCTAAAGCCAAGTCGTTCCAGTGTTTGTCGTCCGGTGGAACCACAGACTTGAGGGCACACGGGTAGTGTCCTCCCCAGCTGTCACACAGGTACACAACTCCATACTGACCCCGACCCAACTCCCGCCCCAGCTTTGGCTTGCCTGAGAGAAAACAATACAGCTCAACAAGAAACAAACAGCAATCTGAAGACAAGTATTTGGGTTTTTCTACTTGATGTTTGGCAGCAGAATAATTCTATCTCAGGTTAATGTGCTGAACTAAAACCTGAAGTCAGCTTGTTCAGAGCAGCATGGGACTTTTATTTAAAAATAGGTTTTACAGCTATTTGTGGGGTTTAGCTGAGGCTGCTGTTGAACAATGAGAGGATTTAGTGGTGACTCACCATGCAGCAGCACATCCCTCAGGGAGCGGCTCTCTAGAGACAGGCGAGCCAGTCGAGGGGCGTGGTCCTTCCTCACACGCAGCCACAGGTCTTCAGTTCGCTCCAGACGCCCAGTGTGGCCTTCCTCCAGCTGCAAACACAAACATGAAATAAGGTCTCACATTTAGCTGTAAGTGGGATCAAATGAACCTTCTCATTAAGTGAAACTTTTTTTTCTTTGTGAGGTTACAGGTGTGTTTATCCCGGCTCCTCCAGAGCCCATGTCCTGCGTGTGTTAGACCATGTGCACATGTCGCGCGGTATCCCACAAAACAAAGATAATTTTCTACAGCTCGGCCTGTCATCCAAACTAGAGTGGAGGTAAACGGCTCCACAAACAATTAAAAAGAAAAACTCTGATCAAGGTGGAAATTTGCAGAGGTTTCAGCAGTGGCTTGTAGACTTAAATAACCGTGGTTTAAGGTTTCATCACTGTCCACAATAAAAGAAGAATCACTTGTGTAATCTGCTGTGCATCTATGTGTGTGTGTGTGTGTGTGTGTGCATGTGTGTGTGTGTGTGTATGTATGTGTGTGTGTGTGTATGTATGTATGTATGTATGTATGTGTGTGTGTGTGTGTGTGTACGTGTGCATTAAAGTATGTATGTGTGTATGTATGTATGTGTGTATTTATGTATGTATGTATGTATGTATGTGTGTGTGTGTGTATGTGTGTGCATTTAAGTATGTATGTATGTGTGTGTGTGTGTCTGTGTGTGTGTGTGTGTGTGCATTTAAGTATGTATGTATGTGTGTATTTATGTATGTATGTGTGTATTTATGTGTGTATGTATGTATGCATGTGTGTATGTATGTGTGTGTGTGTATGTATGTATGTATGTGTGTATGTATGTAGGTATGTATGTGTATGTATGTTTGTTTGTTTGTATGCATGCATGCGTGTGTGTATGTATGTGTGCATGTGTGTGTGTATGTATGTATATATATATTTATATATATATATATATATATATATATATATATATATATATATATATGTATATACATATATATACATATTATACACATATATAAATATACATATATATACATGTATATACATATATACATATATATATGTTTGTTTATGTTTATTTGTTTAGCAGACGCTTTTATCCAAAGCGACTTACAATTTATATCCTATAGGGCATGTTGTGATCTGTGGGGGAAACCAGAGTACCCGGAGGAAACCCACGCATGCATGGGGAGAACACGCAACTCCACGCAGAAAGGCCGCAGCTGAGTTTCGAACCTGCAACCTTCGTGCTGTGAGGCAACAGTGCTAACCACTGCGCCACCATGCGGCCGAT